AGGGAAATAGCGGGTACCGCCCTCTTGGGTTACTACTCCCACTGGAGAGCACCAAAACCAGGATTGGGGCAGGGGTGGCTACATAGAAAGGCACCCGCCAGTATGTGTGTGGGCTGGATAGTAGGGTTGGTTGGGTTGTACTAGGCTTCAATGACCATTGGCAGGTATGAGAGCTAAATGGGATGTGGGACAGACTGAACATGTCTGTGATACATATTGGCAGGCATGGGAGCCAGAGTAGGGGGCAGGCCTGTATGGGGAGTCGCCCCAATTAGGCTGCAGTTAGCTCCCACTGGTTTGCGTGAGGGCCAAGTATGAAGTAGGCAGGATTGGGCTGGACTACAACACCCATTGGTTCACGTGGAAGATAGGGCTGGAAGATGGAACTGACCCAGGAACTGCAATGACCAGCGTGTGCATAAGCTGACTGGGGAGATGGATGGTACCGGACCCTGTACTGGCAAGCACACACAAGAATCATCTGGGATCATCTCAGACCAAGTTTGTTTTGTTTGGAGATCCCTCCACCTGAACTGCTGATCTCAGAACCCCAACCATGAAGGCACTATGTCAGCCAGTCGATTCTGAATAGGTTTCATCGCACTTGGAGTGGCAAGATTGGCAACAATTCAGAACTGTCGAACTATCAAAACGCATGAGCAGGACCCTCGGAGCATGCCTCACATCGGGGACCTGGGATGGGTGGGAAGCTGGGTAGGGCTTCTCCCTTTGTTTCTGCCCTGTCCCCAGATACGGGGGAAAAAAATGATGGTATTAGTGTGGAAACAATGGTCTTACCTACTTTATTGTAGCCCTTGACCCTGAGATTATTAAAAAAACACAACAAAAACTTTGTTATAGCCATTATATACTAAACTCTAAAGCACACACACACATACACACAACCAGCTAGTCAGTGACAAGCTTCCCATCTTCCAAACTTAACCAAATAATAATAGCCTTACATCTCCACAGGAATCATCATGTTTCTAAAACTCATGGCAATGTTGGTCCCCTGCCTCCTTTGAAAATCAGGCAATCCCTTGGCCCTGGCAGGGTAGACTACTTTGCATGTATCAGGATCCTAAATGAGTGCCAGTTCTAATCCAGCTTCCTGCTTGTGACCTGGGAAAGTAGTCAAGGATGGCCCGATGTCTCTGTTGATTCACTCCCCAAATGGCTGCAATGGCCGGATGTGCTCTGATTAGAAGCCAGGAGCTTCATCTGAATATCCCATCTGTGTGCAGAGTCCCAACGCCTTGGGGTGCCCTCGACTGCTTTCCCAGGCCACAAGCAGGGAACTGGATAGGAAGTGGGGCCGCGGGGATTAGAATTGGTGCCCAGGGCCCTGCAAAATAGCCTAGTGGTTAAAGTTCTTCCCTTGAACGAGCTGGGATCCCATATGGGCTCCAGTTCTTATGTGAAAGGGACTTTCTCCTAGCTCGTGGAGTTGAAGAGATGAGGGATTCTAGATAACAGTTGAAACAGGAAACCATTTGAGTCACTGAGCTCCAGCCACATTGAACTTTGATGGCTTCGCCAGAGGGACCAGACTGTTGACATAGTATGACCCCAGTAGGCATCAACACTGTAGGGCTCCTCATAGATGGCATCTCAGTCCCCCAAGTCAGTTACCTTGTAAGACACAAGAACTTAGCAGGTGTAGTGAACTTAAGGAGCTTCAGGTGGAGTTAGCCCAATCTTACTATATGAAGTTCTTTATAACTGAGAATCTGGGGTTGTTGCAAAGGCACAGCAGCTAATCTTCCTTCCTGTGGTGCCAGTATCCCATAGGGGCACTGGTTCCTGTCCCTGCTGTTCCACTTCCAGCTCCCTGCTTATTTCCTGGGAAAGCAGCAGAGGATGGATGGCTCAAGTTCTTGAACCCTGCACCCAGAAGAAGCTCCTGATTCCTGGCTTCAGATCGGTTCAGCTCAACTTTGCCACTTGTGGCCACTTGGGAGAATAAACCAGAAGATGGAAGATCTATCTCTCCTTTGTGTAAAGGAAAGCTTCCTGCTTGTGGCCTAGGAAAGCAGTCGAGGATGGCCCAAAGTCTTGGGACCGTGCACCCATGTGGGAGAACTGGAGGAGACTCCTAACTTCGGACCAGCTCAACTCTGGCCATTGCATCACTTGGGGAGTGAATTAGTAGATAGAAGATCTTCTTCTCTGTCTCTTCTCCTTTCTGTATATCTGACTTTCCAATAAATAAATAAATAAATTTTAAACAAAAATGAAATTAAGAGATAAACTTATTTTGGTACAGAAATTTGTTTAAAAATAAGCATGTAAGGGGGTTTCAAAAATACATAGGAAATACAGATTATGAAAAAATAGTATGTATGGTGTTCTACCTTGTTGCATCAAAACTTAACACCACTTCTCACAAACTTTTTGCTCTATTCTCATATAATCTCATATTACACCCTCAAGCTAGTAAGGCCAGCAATGTTAGTTATGTAAAAATTAAGTTAAGGTTTCTAAGCTTTGAACAGTGACAGAAGAATGATATAATAATCAAGACCAGAAGTTGGGAAAGTGGGCTAAGTTTGCAAAGAAGCTGAAGAATCTCACTTGGAACCAGTGAGTTTGACATGAGAGGGACCTACACAAGGTACACTTGCTCCTTTTCAATTTTTTGCATCTTTCTTTTATACTGTATCACTTTTTGAATATAAATAGTTTGAGTGGTGAATATTAAATATTTTCAAATTTGCACAGGATTATGCAACAATCATTCTACCAAGCCTGGAAAATATTTACAAATTTTAAAGGCATTTAACTGAAAACAAGAAGTTGCATTTGAGAATAATGCTTCTATTTATAAACAAACAGAATCTGACTTGGCTGTCTGAAAGATCTGTAGAGCTTGGCCAGTCCATGCATTCTTCCATCCAAATGAACTTGTCAAGTTATCAAACATGCCAGGCAAGAATGCCAGAAATCTCAGCTTTACTTGGTGAAGCAAGACTCAGCATTTGGGACCTGGAGTTCATGCAATCACAGAATCACAATTTGGTAGAAAGAATAACTCTTCAATTGGAAGGAGCAATGGCAGAAATCAACAAATTTAGGCTGCAGTTTACTATTAGCTTTAACTTTGTAAAAATTTTTATTGATTTATTTTATTTGAAAGAGAGAGAGAGAGAGAGAGAGAGAGAGAGAGACCTACCATCTGCTGATTCATTTCCTTCCTAAATGCCTCGAAGAACCAGAGCTGGAGCAAGCCTGGAACTTAATCCAGGTCTCCCGCAATGAGTGGCAGAGACCCAGACTGTCAACTGCTACTTCCAGGGTGTGTATTAGCAGAAAGCTGGATGAGAAGCAGAGCCAGGGCTCATATCAGGAGTTCTGAAATGGATTGCAGGCATCCCAACCAGGGACTTCATCACTGCTCCAAACACCGGGCTCTAAGGGAACTTTTTTTAGATTTGTTTTATTTTTATTGCAAAGTCAGATATACAGAGACGAGACGAGACAGAGAGGAAGATCTTCCACCTGATGGCTCACTCCCCAAGTGGCCACAGTGGCCGGAGCTGAGCTAATCTGAAGCCAGGAGCCAGTAGCCACTTCTTGGTCTCCCATGCTAGTGCAGGTTCCCAAGGCTTTGGGCCGTCTCGACTGCTTTCCCAGGCTACAAGCAGGATGCTGGATGGGAAGCAGGGCCACCGGAAGTAGAACCAATGCCCATATGGGATCCCGGCACGTGCAAGGTGAGGACATTAACCACTACGCTACCGTGCTAGGCCTGTATCCTGTGCCTTTAACAGTCCCCATTACATTAGGCGCTCATTAGATCAGTGTTGGCTGAATGACCTCCACAACGCACTTCCCACACACGTCAGTACTTCAGGAATAAAAAGGAAACAAGTAGATTTGCTGGCGGCATTACTTTCAGTCACACAGAACGCCAGCTGCCTGCTTGATTGCAAACTCCACGGCAAAGCCCCATCCTTCCTAACTGGTAGAATGAGCAACAGAATGAGAGACACGGACAAGTAGAAAGGTAACTGATTCACATCCCCACAACAGCTACTTTTGTGTCTCAAGGTAGATTTAATGGCTTCATCATTTTGTAATTTACAAATGAAGTTAATCTTCCTCTACCTCCTCCAGTGGCACAGTAGTGCCCTTGGTAACAAGATCTTAGATTAGAAGAGTTTGCTTTTGATCATGATGACTGACTTTGCTGCTGCAGGACACAGCATGCCCTGGGAGCTGAATCACGATTCCCAGAGGGCATCCCTAGGAGGACTCTGGGGAGCATGGCAGAGCCTTTTTCCCCTTGTAATACAAAGATCAGAACTGGATTTTGCAACTGTGGCTAACACTGGAGAGTTTGGCAGCAGGATTTGCGTATTGAGAATTAAACTACACTTCCCAGAATGCATCTTGAAGAGGATTCTGGGGAGTGTGGCAGAATCAGGAAGGGATCTTCAGAGGAAGGGAAGCGGTTTGAACGTGAAAGGCTGGAATTTCCGGGTTTCTGCTGATTCTTGAGGCCAAAAAAAAAGGTGCTCCCCCGAAAAAGAGATTTCAGAGTGAGTACAGCGAAACAGAAGCCTGTCCAGGGTCTAAGTGGACAAGGACTTTTGTAGGGAAGCATGGTTGCATTCTACAACTTTAGCTTAATCTTCCTCAGGGAGAGCTGGGGATACCCACAGCTTTCCGGTAATGCAGCTACCTCTGTGAGCACAGCTAACCATTTTCTGATCTTCCTTGGAAAGATGTGTAAGTGAAAATTTCCTACCTTCACATGTTTTGCCTTAATTTTTGAATAAACAGAGAAAAATGATTCTTTAAGAAGCAGGTCATACAGCTACTCAACAAGGCTCAAATCTGTGTCCTGGTTGTCCTCGGTGTTACACCCTTCTCCCCAGGGACACCTCACAGAGGTCTCTCTCATCAGGGCTGACCCAGGCCCCACCTGGCCTGACATGTGCAGGTGACCACGAAGGTACAAGATGGGCTGCTGGGTCCTGCTGCTGTGTTTACAGAAACTAATCATCCTGGAAAGAGGACCAGGGGCAAAGCACATATAAATCATTTCTTAGGGAAGGTTCCGAGACACTGTTCATCTTACAGGTCTTGCCTTATCATTTAATAATTGTAGTAAAACTAAGAGACATGGGATGAGTTACTGAGTTTAAATGTAATACAATTAAACAACATAAGCTCATTTAGATGCAGTGTTATGTTACCTTTCATCTCCATCAGCTTTTGTAGTTTAAACAACTACTTAGAGACCTCTGTGCCCATCAGCTCCTGAGTCAGCAGCCACGGTCATCCATGGTTAGCTCAGGTTAATGTGGTACCAGAAGCTGGGCCAAGAGTCTGGCAGCCAAGTCCAGCGGACCACAGACTCCAGCCGTAGTTATAACGACCACTAAACAGCCTTAGAAGAGGTATGTACACATGCTTAAGAATTTTTTTTTGCAGTTCAGAAATTTATAAACTACAAATTAAATGTTAAGTATGAAAATGAATGAAATAAAAATTACAAATTCTCTTTTCAGTCCTCATCTCTGTCCCCCTTCCCAAAGGGGTCAGTGGTAGCAGCTTGCAGGTGCACTTCATGCGCATGTGCCTTTCTTTACGCGTTAGACCGTGTCTGCCAGACGAATATCAGCTTTTCTCCTCCAGCTTAATTAAGGTACCTCTGCAAACAACAGCTGTATCTACTCATGGTATATCAAGAGATGTTTCGATATATGTGTACCTTATGAAATATGAATCATAATACATTGATCACCTCACCAACTTAGCATTTTTTGTATGTGATGAGGACATGTAAGATCTCTTAGTAATTTTCAAGCATCCAAAGAAATTATGATTCGTTATAGTTGCTATGCTGTACAACACAGTTGCAGAAATTATGCATCCTGAGACTTTACATCCTCTGACCAACACTACCCCTTCCTCCACTTGCTTTACTTAACACATTCTGAAGATCTTTACCTTTTACTGCATATGCATTTCTCCTCTTATAGCATTGTTTATTTCTTGTCAATAGTGGGGCATTATTCCATCTGTCATAATTATCAATTAACATTACTATTGCATAGCCTTTCTCTCCTAGGATAATTTCCCAGATGTGGAACCACAAGCTGAAATAGCTGCTTACTTAACATTTAATCTCCAAAAATGCTGTACCTTCTTGGAGTTTACACATGGGCCAGAAGTAGTAACCCTATGTACATTTATTCCACTCTATGATGCAAGCCCTTAGGTTATTAACACGAGAGTTATACCGCTAATGCTGATTCACACAGTGCTTGGCAACCCAAAGAGCACGCTCTGGCTCCTGTGCCGGTTGGTTGTTTCCTCTGCTACACTCTGGAGGGCAGGAATGTTCATTCTGTGCATTTTTGTGCTCCTTAGGGAACTCTGCATGAAGTCAGCACTCAGTAGATGCTTGGTGGAATCTCATTTGCTAAATATATTTTACCCTTGGCTAGGACATAGGTTGTCGCCAAAACTATCCAAGGATTAGTCATCAGTGACTCATAATTATGCAACCAAGAAGTGGGCCCAAACTTGTGCATTCCCTGGTGGGTTTGTGACAAAGCCTGCTTCCCTAGGGAATACTGTTGAGGGTGGCTAGTGATTTAACTGTTTTTCTAATGTTTAAATTAACTTCCTTAGCTTTTTTACTGATAGTATAAAAGGCACTTTTCATAGGGAAGAAAATACTGATGTAGAACTTAAAAGGAACTATTTTCTGCAGGAAGGGTTTTTGGATACAAGATTTTTTTCTTTCCTCAATGAACTACCAAAACAACAACAACAAAAAAACTTGGATCCATGTGAATTTACACAGCTGCCGTTTGAAATATTTTTCTGATGGCCATGATTTTAATTTTTTCTTATGTACAGGTTCTCATTTCTTTCACCCCCAGGGGGACTTTGTTTTTATGTATCCTGAGAAACTTGGCTCTATTACTCTGGAGATGACATAGGCTTTGTGACTTGATTTATCAATCATGGTAACACCAACTGTTGTTAACATATGAAGTTCAAGACACTAGTGGCTTAATAAGGAACAAGTTTCTTCTCGCTCACAAATAGTCCACTGCTGGGCGTCTGGTTTGGGAGTGGCTTTTCTCAGGGCAAGATCGAGCCTCAGCATCTAATAGCTCTTTCACCTTGAGTCGTCCCAGTAGAAGGGAGAAGAAGTGGAGAAGGCCTACCCATGTCTAACTACTGCAGCCCCAAAGAGCACCTCACCATTTCCACTCTCATGGACTCTGTCTTGTGCCTTTGCAGGTGCTAGGGAGGAGAGGCACGCAGGCCTTGGCTCTGCTGCCCCCTCGTCCAGTATGAAGGCGGAGCTCACGTTTACTTGTGGCTAGTTAGCTGATTACTCCCCGCGGCCTTCTGCAGGTGGAACAGATGAGCAAACAAGTGCAGAGAGGCCAACTCTGCTAGCTAGTTAGTGGTAGAAATGCAGTTTAGAAGTTACCTGACTACTATCTAGTTTCTCTTTCCTTAATCTTACAAAATGATCCTACCCTGGCTTAACATATGATTGCAGATTATGATTTTGTTAACTTCTCTTTTCTTTAAGGGCCTGATCATGTCCCTGTTTTGTGGAGTGGCTTGCAGGAGCAAATCCTTTGGGTGCTATAGGCTGCTGTCAACCTATGTCGCTAGAGCACGGTGAGTTTTGACCAACTTGAGCTCTGATTAGTGTTTCTCCTGTTAAGCTATAAATACAAGCATCTCAGAATCAAACTGAGGACTTCATGATGTGTGATAAAATTAACCATGAGGAGGTTATTGTATAATTGTTTTTAGTTAGCACATTTTCAACTAAATTTCCAATAATGTGTAAAATGTCTTAAACATGAATGTAAGTTCTTTTTAAGACTTTTTTTTTCTACTATGGTATTACAGTGCATAAACAGAACCTGACACATAACAGGCAATGAAATATTGAGTACATGAATGGTAGCACAAAATCCAATCAAGTATACTCATGATGGAATAATACTTAAAAATGACAATAAGCATTTCATGAACATTTAGAAAATTAGGTTACTATAATCCCATCCCCCATTTAACTAAAGAGCTAGGCTAAAAGTTAAGAGTAGACTAGGAAAAAGAATCTACAGATGATTCGAGAACTTTTACTGTGGCCTACAGAAACTTGAAATCTAGGAATCTGAAAACACTAACCTGGGTGGTATAGTGGGTTAAGCCACTGCCTTCAGTTTGATCGAAGTCTCCAGTTCCTAACTCCAGCTTTTGCTAAAGCAGACCATGAAAAGCATCCAGGATGGCTGAAGCATTCCTGCTGCCCCTTGGGAGACCTGGATTGGGTTCACAGCTCTTGCATTTGTGGGCATAAAACAGAGGAAGGAAGCCTTCCTTCTTTTTCCATGTCTCTATGCCTTTCAAAGAAAGAAAGAAAAATCTAATAAATAAATCACTTATACCATCTCTATACTGTGGCCCAAGAACCCCCAATCTAAGAAATGAATTTTGGGACTAGCATTGTAGCATAGCAGAAAAGTCATCATAGGTTGGTTCAAGACCCAGCTGTTCCACTTCCAATTCAGCTTCCTGCTAATGCACCTGGAAAAGCAGTGGAAGATGGCCCAAATACTCGGCCCTGCACCCATGTGGGAGACCTGGATAAAGCTCCTGACTCCTGGTTCTACCCTGACTGTTGTGGCCACTTGGGGACTGAATCAGCAGAGATGGAATCAAATTCTTTCTTTCTCTCTGCCTTTCAAATAAATAAATCTTGAATGGGCAAGGAAATGAATTTAATTTGTAACCCTGAACCAATACCTGGGGGCACCTTGCAAAATTTAAATGCAACTACAGTTGTCAAACCCCTTAGGAGGGATGCACTCACAGCATCCCTCACAGAAAGAAATCTTTCCCAGGCCACAGGAATCTAAATAGCTTCAGTCTTAGTCATCTTCGTGTGAGTGGTTCCCATGCTGTTAGAACGGGAGGGACAATGACTTTTCCAAATGGGGCTCCTCAGCAAGAAGAGCACGAAGGGCTCTTGTGTGTGAGCCCTAGTGAGGTCCTGCCTGGGTGTGAGCCTTACCCTGGGCGGAGCTCTGGGTGTTTTGCCTGAGGTCATTAGGGCAAAGCACAGGCTGTACTGCTTTAAAGGCAGCAGTGTTTGCTCTATTTGTATTTGGGAACTTATGTGTGGTGTAGGACTCTCCTTTAACATCTGAGTTTCTGCCCCAAGAAGTGAGGCTGCAGTCATTGAGAATACATTTTCAAATATCTCGAGTCTTAGAAGATCAGGTTTCTTTTCTGTTAATATGGAACTCACTGTAACCCCTTTGGTCATACCGTGAAGACATGCTTCTAAAGATGCCACTGGGGAGTGTTGGTCAGTTTACTTTGTGTTTTCAAGTTGAGTCAACTTTGTCCATTGGTAATCTCCTAGATCTTACAGAAAATATCTGTAAATATACTTGACATAGTATGCTATGTACCTGTGAATCTGGTTTAGGGCTTTTGATAGGCAGAGACGGTTAACCGCAAAGTCCAGGAGACTCTGCCAGAGTCACCGCTGCACCTGACTGGATTCCCAAGGCTCCTTTGGAGTAACAGACTCAAGCCATTCTTCATGAAGGCTCTGGAAAAAACCTAGAACTTAATCCATTAGTATCCCTTTTTGGGAACTCGATCGTAGAATGTTCTTGCCACATTTTTACTTTTGGTTACTGAAAATATCACCCTTATTAGTACTGGTCAAGCACAGTGTTCACTCAGTGGTCCCTTCAACAAAGAGAAGCAGCTGGTGGCTACTAGTGCAGAGGTTAGATCTTAATGAGAGTGCTTTATCTTCCTCAGATGGAATGAATGGGATTTACTGATACCATATTATGTGCTCTTTCAGTAATAAGCTCTGCTTCCATCTAAATATTCTGTGGTTGATGTTTTATCATGCTACTTGTTTTCCCCTCACTCCACTACATGTAAATTCTTGCTTCACAGTGTAATATTGGCATAGTATCTTGAGGTTCAATTCAGTAAATATTTTCTGCCCTTGAAGTTAAACTCAATAAATATTTATTGAATTGAGCCATCGCATTTGCTAATTACTGAGGTACAGAGCTGTGTAAGGCTAACCCTGCCTTTAAAGAGATTGTAGTCTTCCAGGGGAGACAGCTAACCTTTATAATAGTGCAGCCACAGAAATACGTGCAAGATACGTAGTAGGGCAAAGCAGGGAATAGAATAAATAATTGCTTTAGTTACTTTCAAAAAAAGAAATCTTTTTGGAAGGGTTGCCATTTAGGATGTAAATAAAAAGTGTGGTAGGACAGAGATGCAGGAGGAGAAAATGCCAAGATATCCAGGTGGAGGCAGAGGCAGGCCCAGCAGCCAAGCCACCGCCTGGGACGCTTGCCTTCAGTATCCAAATGTCTGGCTTCCGGGCCTGAGCGCACTCCCCTTTCCAGCTTCCTGCTCACACAGCCTGGGAGGCAGCAGTTGCTGATGGTTTAAGTAGTTGGGTTCCTGCCTCTCACAGAGAGAGCTGGATCAAGTTCCCAGCTTGCAGCACTGGCCTGACAAAGCCCCGGCTTTTGCTGGCATTTAGGGAGTGAGTCAGCAGACAGGAGCTCTCTTTTTCCTCTATGCCTCTCAAATACATAACGGTTTTACAATAGTTTCTTTCATTCTCCAATGCAGGTATCTCTTTGAACTGAAAGAAGACAACGATGCATGTAAAAAAGCACAGCAGACCGGAGCATTTTACCTCTTCCACAGCCTGGCTCCCTTGCTTCAAAGGTCAGAAAGTCATTATGTGGCCCCCCGGCTTAGCCTCAGAGGTAAGCTCCAAGTGGGCCTGTGGCTTTCATGGCCACTAACTTCACACTGAATCTTTCAGAAAGATTTTTTTTTCACATTTTTATAACATTTCTGCCAATTAGCTGCTTACTTAATGAACCCTAGCTTTCCAGTTAAGTGGATTATAATATAAACCACTAATGTCTTAAGCCATGGATTAATAAAACTACAGTTTAATACATTTTGTTTTCAGCATCCCCATGCTCATTTATCTATATATTGCGCTGTAATGGCATAACTGAATAGTTGTGACAAAGGCTGTACAGCTAAGACATCTAAAAGCTTTAGAATCACTTTCTAGAGAAAGCTTGCTTACCTCCATGTTCGACCAGCCTCCAAGGAGTTGTACAACTGTTATATAACCTCGTTTTTGCTAGAAGGGTCAAAGTTAAAGGTGAATTAAAATGAATCTGTTTCCAAAACTCTTTTTTCCATTTATAAGTAGAGACATTGAAGGCAGTGGCATTTGATATTCAAAATACCAGCTTTCAGGTTTTTAAAAAAATTCTTTTGTACTATGATTTTCACATGATGGGTCTTATGATTCACTTATTGAAAGGCAGAATGACAGGCATAGAGGTGAAGAGAAAAGTGAAAAAGGGACGGATCTTCCCCCTACTTGTTGCCTCGTTAAATGGCCACAATAACTAGGTCTAGGTCAGGCCACAGCCCAAATCCAGGTCTGCTATGTGGGTGGCAGGAGTCCAAGTACTTGGCCCACCCTCCCCTGCTTTCTTAGGCACATGAGTCACTAGGAATACCTATGTTACAAGAAGCAGCCTAACCTACTGTGCCAGTTGCTGATCCCTAACTTTGTTTTATATGCTGTCACCATAAACTGGATGATTTGGACTACACTGCCTGTGAGTTCCCTCCTTGGGTCAGATGTTAGAGTTCTTGGACAGGTAGTTTTCAGCAGTGCCAAAGGTGCTTAACATTAGAGATGCTACAGTCTGTCTACGGCCATACCACCCTGAACGCGCCCGATCTCATCTGATCTCGGAAGCTAAGGAGGGTCGGGCCTGGTTAGTACTTGGATGGGAGAGATGCTACAGTCTTATGCTGTATTATGAATACTGCTTCTTGCACAGAGGGACAAGTTTCTTCCCTACACAGTACTTAGTTACACTCTGACCCACAAAAGCAGCACAATCTGGAGATTATAGAACTGAATTAGTCTCTTCCATTTTAACACTCACAGATTTCATAATCTAATCCTCATACAGCGTGTGAACTAGGGGATGTGTTCCTTCCATAAAGTCACACAGTGTTACTCAGAATTTCTCATTTAGTCAAAACTGCTTATCCTGTTGAGGGAGACACCGAGGCTTGGACAGGCTGGGTGATTAGATTTAGGCTCCACAGTAACTAAGTACAGGTGGTGACTTTCAGTCAAGAAGAGTTGACCCTCCATACCCTCTGTCCTGCATCTATGTGTTCAACCCACCACACACTGATGATATTTGGGGAACGTATTTGGGGGCAGGCGCTTGGCACAGTGATTGAGATTTGGACAGTGTGTCATGAGTACCTGGATTGCAGTCCTGGCTCCACACTGGTACCAACTTCCTGCCAATGCAGCCACCCTAGGAAAGCAGTAGCAGGTGATGGCTGAAGTACTTGAGTTAAGGGTTCCTGGAGGCTGATACTAGCATTTGGGGAGTGAACCAGCACATGGAGGATCTGGTTTTCAAATTAATGAATAAGTAAACTAGTATGGTGTTTGCATTAAAAATTAGTAGCTTTAATAAAGTGCCAACATTGTGACACTGTGGATTAAGTTGCTACCTGTAACACCAGCATCCCATATAGGCACTCATTCGAGTCACTGCCGTTCCATTTCCAAGCCAGTTCCTTGCTAACACTCCTGGGAAAGCAGCAGCAGATGGCCTAAGCCTTTGGACCCATGCACTAACATACAAGATCTAAATGAGGCTTTTAGCTCCTAGCTCCACCTTGGTCCAGTTCTGGCTGTCATGGCCATTTGGAGAATGAACCAGCAGATGGAAGATCTTTCTCTGCCTCTTTTCTTCCTGTAATTATGCATTTAAAATCAAATATATCTTTTTCAAAAAGGCTTTAAATTCCAGGTGATTTTAAAAATTAGCAGTGTTCCTTAAAAAAAAAGTCACATCTGTCTGGAATGTGCACATATTTTTCTAGTCATTATTTCTTGAACAAAACAGTACAACAAACACATACCATCTACATTGTCTTAGTATAAATAATCTAGAAATGATTTAAAGTGTGAGAATGTACATAAGGTACCCAAGTATTCAGAAGTTTTGGTATCGGAAGGCTGTTTTGGTGTTAACCCCCCTTGGCTACCATGGAGTGATTGTATGCCTACTGAAGAATATGATTTCCTCTAAGGTTATTATGGTTGTAGTGATTTAAATTGTAATCCTCATTATTGTCCTCTCTTTGCCTTTCTTAGAGCTGGAAAAGCTCCTGATGAAGTGTGGCCAGGACACACAGCGAATAGAAGATTCTGTGCTGATTGGATGCTCCGAACAGCAGGAAGCATGGTTTGCTCTGGATCTGGGACTCAATGGCTCCTCTGCCATGAGCAGTGCGTAACTGTGCTCCTCCTGGGTACAGCCCAGCAGTTCTCACTTTGGGATTTCACATAATAATTAAAAAAAATATTGAAAATAAGTGATCAACTTTTTAGTTAAGTAAGGATATAAAAATGCTGTATCATCTGTCGTCATTTAAGACATTTTAGTGCTTTCTAAGTTGTGTGTACATGTTTATTATATTCTGTGCACTTTGACACATGTTGTATCTTAAATGTTTCACAGGAGATGTTTTCAAATTCATGCCATCCTTTTTTTTTTTTTTAAATCAGTGCTGACAGATAACAGTGTTCTGGAATTATTTTTGGGTCCTCAGACCTGCATTTGGGAACCAGGTTGCTGTAGGGTCGTGGCTCCCATCAGGCTTTCCTGGGGTAGTGACATGGGAGTGAGGGCCCAGCATCTCTTTTCCAGGGATAGAATGTGACTCAGGCACATGTTCCTACAGCCCTCAAAAGGATCTTCAGCAACAGTGTTTCCTAGACTGGCCTGAATCTAAGAATCACCGGGTGCTGGTTAAAACAGTAGGTTTCGGGGCCTCATGCCATACCTACTGCTGAGGAGTCTGCAAGTTAGAGCTTGGCAATCTGTGCACTTATTTTCTCCAGTGGAGTCTTATTTGCTTGGTCTGTCTGGGAAACATGTCAGACTGGAAAAGGGCCTTGTGGCCAAATTTGTTTGACATTGATTTGTCTCTCTTTTCTAATTTTCTAGCCTCCTTACAGAAATCTACATTGGAGACAGAGCTCAAGGGGTCCTTCGTGGAGCTGAGGAAGGCCCTCTTTCAGATGAGCGTGAAGGACATGCGCTTGCTGTTCACGGTAGATACTTTCACACTTCTGTAGGAAATTTCACAGTGCTGTGTACAGGCAAACCTGCGTGTGCGTGCTCAAGGCCGAGGTGACAACTGGTTTCTTCTTTTGCAGATCATAGTTTTTGGCAGAGCTGCTGTCAAGACCATTTTCTCTCATGCACTATAGATCCCAAAGGCCATAGAGGGAGCCCAGTGCGGTGGCCTACTGGCTAAAGTCCTCGCCTTGAACACGCTGGGATCCCATATGGGCGCCGGTTCTAATCCCAGCTGCCCTGCTTCCAATCCAGCTCCCTGCTTGTGGCCTGGGAAAGCAGTTGAGGACGGCCCAAAGCCTTGGGACCCTGCACCTGCATGGGAAACCTGGAAGAGTTCCTGGCTCCTGGCTTTCAATCAGCACTGGCTGTTGCAGTCACTTGGGGAGTGAATCATCAGATAGAAGATATTTCTCTGTTTCTCCTCCTCTCACTGTATGTCTGACTTTCCAATAAAAATAAATAAATCTTAAGAAAAAAAGCCATAGAGAAATCGGCCTTATAAATGCTGTTAATGGCCCACAGCATGAAATACGTCAACATGCTTTTCCTGTGAGGCATAATTTTAAATTGCTTTAATGACCTGTCCTCTCAGCTTTAGATATCATTTGCTTAAGTGTCTTGGTAATCCATTTACTTTTTTTTTAAGATTTTTTTTTTTTTATTATTGGAAAGGCGGATATACAGAGAGGAGAGACAGAGAGGAAGATCTTCCGTCCGATGACCCACTCCCCAAGTGAGCACAACGGCCAATACTTTGCCGATCTGAAGCCAGGAGCCTCTTCGGGGTCTCCCACGCGGGTGCAGGGTCCCAAAGCCTTGGGCCGTCCTCGACTGCTTTCCCAGGTCACAAGCAGGGAGATGGACAGGAAGTGGGGCTGCTGGGATTAGAACCAGTGCCCATATGGGATCCCGGGCGTGCAAGGCGAGGACCTTAACCACTGTGCCACCATGCCGGGCCCCATTTACTTTTTTAAAAGAAGATTTAAAAACTTTTTAAATTGGAAAGTCAGATCTACAGAGAAGGACATACATAACGCTGGTTCACTCCTCAAGTGGCTGCAATGGCCAGAACTGAGCCGATCTAAAACCAGGAGCCAGGAGCTTCTTTGGTGTCTCCCATGTGGGTGCTCCACTTTTAATCCAGCTCCCTGCTTATAACCTGGGAAAGCAGTGGCGCATGGTCCATGTCCTTGAGCCCTTCTGTCTACATTGGAGACTGAGAATAAGCTCCTGGTTCCTGGCATTGATTGGCTCAGTAGCAGCCATTGAGGCCATGGGGGGGGGGGGTGAATCAGCAGACGCAAGATCTGTACCCCCCATCTCTCTGTAAATCTGCCTAATAAAAATAAAATACAATAAAGAGTAGATGTGTTCTCAAGGCGTGCCATCTCCCTGTGAACTGCTGTGAGTACACAGGCCTAGTGCTGTTGTGGGTGATCCCTGCAATCTTTCCCGTGAAGCCAGCTCTGTCTTTGTGTTTCCAGGCTCAGGCTCTTCTCAGCTGGCATGATTCTCACCAGTTCTGCAGCCGCAGTGGGCAGCCCACCAAAAAGAACATGGCGGGCAGCAAGCGTGTGTGCCCCTCCAACAACATCATCTATTATCCACAGGTAGGCACTGTTCTAAGACGGTGACCCAGGAAGGCTGTGCGCCACTCCGTCCCAGGGCAGGAAGCCCACACAGCTACCGGACGCTCTGTGTCCACCTGTCAGTTCACCAGCCGGTCCTCAGTTTTCATTACCCTCTCCTAGATGGCTCCTGTGGTGATCACTCTGGTCTCGGACGGACCCCGGTGCCTGCTTGCTCGCCAGAGCTCCTTTCCTAAGGGAATGTACTCTGCCTTGGCAGGGTTCTGTGATATAGGTAAGTTTGAGGGGGATCCACAGGTGGCATGAAGAACCTAAGGCTTTATTAATAAATACTTTTGGTGTCGCCATCATGCGTGACATCTGTGGCACAATCTTCCATACCATTCCATGGAAACTGCTGACAGAACTTTCTAATATTAGGCCAATTTCAGATGACGCAGCACAGTTGAAAAAAAATCACACATGGTAAACACTTTTACGCCTAACACCTAGATTCCAAAATGTTTTGACTATGTTTTCAAATAGCCATTCACGTATTCATCTGTAGTTAGTCAGCTTTTTGCTACTTTCAATACCTAAGAAGAGCTTTTTAGGAAGGAAAGAGTATTTCAGCTACAGTTTGGAGGCATACAATTCAGGACTGGCAGTCCTGTCAGCATGGAGTCTGGAGGAGGCTGGCCAGGTGGAGCGGGAACGGAGGAGCTATCACATGGCCAGTCAGGCAGCAGAGAGAAGCAAAGCTGACTTACTTATATAACCAACCATCTTTTGGGAACTGGGGCAAGTCCCCAGTGAGTTACAGGCTTCCCACTTGGAAGCCATAGTTAGATCAAGTCTCCACCCTTACTCCTGTGATGGTTAACAGACTTGATACATCTGCAGGAGTTTGAGAGCCAAGTTATGTTCAATCCACAACACCTTCCATCAGTTTTTGTTTCTGATGCGTAGATTAGACATCATTGCACTGCTCCCTAAATAGTTCAGCATGTGTAATATCAAATAGATCTCAATATTTATTCATGGTTTGGTTTTTGTTTTTCTTCTGAAGATGGTGGGCAGCAAAATTCTTAGCAAGGCTGAGGGCAGTAGCTTCTCCCTCTGCCATCCTTATACATTGTAACACACCTAGCAGGCTTAAGCACTACAGCTGAATATCCAGCTCCAGTCTGGATTTCTGTTATTGCACAAAGATTCAGGACACTCCCAAAGGTACTTCACTCAAATCTGAAGTCAGTTTTGCATTCCTTTCCAAATGGGGCTATCGTGACAGACACCTGACACAGCCTGTTCTGAAGTCCTCTGATGTTGCAGGTGAAAATGTGGAGGAGGCTGTTCGCCGGGAGGTTGCTGAAGAGGTGGGACTGGAGGTGGAAAGTCTGAAGTACTCTGCCTCTCAGCACTGGCCGCTCCCTAACTCCTCTCTCATGATGGCTTGTCATGCAACTGTGAAGCCAGGGCAGACGGAGGTAAGCCTTGGTTTCCCTGGGCTGGGTGCCTCTTTGGCTTTCTCTTGCCTACTGGCCAGCTCTTCTTACATCTTTCACATCCATCAAGGTCTTGGTCATACAAAGATACATGACGTAACTCCAAGGAATCTGCAGTGCAGTAAGCAATCACCACCCTCCCCTGAACATCCTCCAAGTATGAGACATTTTTTTAAAACAAATAGATTTATTTATTTTTATTGGAAAGTCAGATATATAGAAAGGGGGAGATAAGGAGATCTTATATCTGCTGATTCACTCCCCAAGTGGCCACAACAGCCTTGAACTGAGCCGATCTGAAGCTAGGAGTCAGGAGCTTCTTATGGGTCTCCCACACAGGTGCAGGGTCCCAAGGCTTTGGGCCATTCTCGACTGCTTTCCCAGGCCACAAGCAGGGAGCTGGATGGGAAGTGAAACTGCCGGGATTAGAACCGGCGCCCATATGGGATCCCAGCATGTGCTAGGCCAGGACTTTAGCCACTAGGCTACCATGCCAGGCCCAAACTTTTTTAAAAAATACTTAATTGAGGGACAACTGACATACAAAACGCTGTCGTTAAGGAATGCAACTTGATGAATTTGGAGGTAAGCATACAACTATGATACCATGAAATTATCATCAGCATTAATGTGATATATTTATCCATTGCATCCAAGTTTCCTGTTGTTCCTTTTATTTTTTTCCTTTTGACAATAAAATGCTTAATAGTTATCCATTTAGCAAAAATTTATGTATATAGCAGAGCATTAATTGTAGGCCCCATGTTGTACAGATCTTGAGCATGTTTTAAATAACTGAAACTTAATGCCTTTTGAGCAACACCTCCCCATTTGCCCTCTTCCCCTAGCTCCTGTGAATTACCATTCAACTATAATCCTATGTTTTTCACTATCCAAGGTTCTACATGTGAATCCAACCAAGTTTCGTATCTAGTTTATTTCACTTGGCTTCACTTATTTTTAGGTTCATTGACTTGTTTAAATGCAATTTTCCTCTTGATAAAGCTGAATAATATTCCATTGTATGTATATGTCACATTTTTTTTATCCACTCATCCATGTTGGAAAATTTAGGTTGTTTCCATATTTTGGAATGAATATAAGAGGATGGGAATCTCAAGATTCAGATTTCAGTTCTTTTGTATTTATACACAGAAGTGGGATTGCTGGGTCATATTGTAGCTCTGCATTTGTTTATTTTTATTTATTTGAATGACAGTTACGGGGGAGAGGTGGTTCCATTCTGTGATTCATTTCCCAAATGACTGCAATGGTCAGAGCTCTTCAGGTCCTTTGCCAATTGTTATTAGTTTAGTTTTGTTTTCCTTTTTTTTTTTTTTTTTTTGGTATTGAGTTGTAGATGTCTCTTACGTACTCTATATGTATTAATCCCTAATCAGATATATAGTTTGCAAATATTTTCTCTCATTTTGCAGGCTTCTTTTTCCTGCTGTTCAGTTTTTGATCTAGCTCTCTGCTGGTAGCCTGGGAAAGCTGCAGAGGATGGCTCAAGCTCCTGGGCTGCTGCTACCCACGTGGGAGATCCAGAGGAAATTCCAGGTTCCTGGCCTAGCTCTAGCTGTGGCAGCTATTTCAGGAGGGATCCAGTGGAAGGATCTCTCTTGATCTCTTCCTTTCAAATAAACAAATAAATCTTACACACACACACACATATATATATATGTATTTAGGACCTAGTGTGGTAGCCTAATGGCTAAAGTCCTCACCTTGCATGCACTGGGATCCCAAACGGCCACTGGTTTGTGTCCTGGCAGTGCTGCTTCCCATCCAGGTCCCTCCTTGCGGCCTGGGAAAGCAGTCGAGGATGTCCCAAAGCCTTTGGACCCTGTACTGTGTGGGAGACCTAGAAGAAGCTCCTGGCTCCAGATCAGCTCAGGCCTTTGCAGACACATGGGGAGTGAAATCAGTGAATGGAAAATCTTTCTCTCTGTCCTTCTGTCTGTAAATCTTTTTCCTAATAAACATAAATCTTTTAAAAATGAATTTCTTATAAATATTTTTATTTATAAATATTTAATTCTCATCTCTTAATTATATCTCTTTGGCATTTGGGCAATATCTTGCTAGTTATTATCTTCTATGACTACTTAGTTCTATAGCCATTGTCTCATTAGTTCTGGCTACAGACTTTTATATTCTGAAGCTCCTAACCTATCAATTCCTTCCTTATATATCTTTCAGATTCGACTGAACTTGAAAGAATTAGAGGCAGCTGCCTGGTTTAGTCGTGACGAGGTGGCTGCAGCCCTAAGGAGAAATCACCATCATCCTCATCGACAGAATGAGACTGTCCCATTCTGGGTGCCCCCTAAGTTGGCTATTGCCCACCAGCTGATTAAGGAATGGGTAGAAAAACAGACCTGTGCTTCCCTGCCTGTTCAGTCCAGGTGAACCTGACTGGAACTCTCCTTGATTTTCCCCAAGGAGATACCAGAAAATGACTGTAAAGAGGAGATGATGCAAGACAGAGAAGATGAGCCTATCCACAGCATTAAGGAAGCAAGTTCTTACTAACAATTAAATAGGCTCGTATGGAAAGAAAAGAACAGCTGATGAGGCGCCAGCCATCCAAATCCGAGGGAAGGCTGAAGCCTTGGATTGGATGCAGAGGCTTGCTCACCTATTTTCTCCAAGGTTTACGAGTAAGTATCTTCAGGATGTGGCTTACTGACAATATGTTTACGCCAACTGACAAAATATGACTGGGAGTATTTTAGGTTAATATAATCCCCATGTCATTACCGACTTAGATTTTATCCTCACAAGAGCACAAAGTATAGCACAACCTAACATTTTTGAGTTGTATACAGGTACATTCTTACACATAGTCTTTTTTTTTTTTTTTAAAGCCATATTTCTTTGGGTCTCCTGAAGGGATGAGTTGAGTGGGACCTCAGGTCTTTCTCGGAGTACAAGGAATAAATCAGATGCAGTGAAGCTGTGCTTTAGCAGCCAAAGCCTGGGGGGAATCAGGATGGTAAAGGCTGACTAATTCTCAGCTTTGTCATTTCCTCAGTATGCAACTCAGGGAAAAAACTACTACTTCATCTGGCCTGTTTTCCTAAATGCAAAACATTTAGGAAATGGCCGCGGGCAATTGCTTACCCAAAGTGTTAATAAATATTAACTAAGGGAAGAATGAGAATAAACAAATGTCACAGCTGAAACACTTCTTAAGCCTTATGGGATAAAATATCATTTTCATATGTTAATCCTGTCTTGTGACAATAGAGTTGAGTATATTTTGGGAAAATAAAATTTTCAAATCTTTGCTAAGATGTACTTTTTTCTGTCTTATTTGAGGAAATTCTAGGAAGTCAGAATTGGAGTGGGGGCTTTTATTGGTGTGAGAGACATTTAATTCCACTGTGTGGAACAGCTGAAGCAACACTGTTGGAGGCCCACAGGAAACAGCAGGGCTGGGGAGGGACTCAGATCTTTGGATTACTCTCCATGCTAATTTGGGATTCAAAGACAGAAGTCCCAGGAATCCCAGGACCAGTCACACATCAGAATGCCCTAGGGCTAAGCAAAAGACATCTAGATTAGAAGAGTGACAGTGTCAAGGTCTCTCTGGCTAAGGGCCACCTGAGACTCTGGCATCCCTATTAGAGTGCCAGTTTGAGTTCTAACTAGCTCCCTCCTAAGCTAGAGAAGGCAGCAGAAGATGGCCTCGGTACTTGGGTCCCAGAAACCCATCTGGAAGACTTGGGCGGGGTTCTAGGCTCCTGGTTCCTCCTGCTTCAGACCTGGCTGATGCTACCATTTAGGGAGTGAGCCAGCAGATAGAAGATATGCTCTGCTTTTCAAATAAATCTTTGTTATCTTAAAAAAAATAATAAAGAGAAATTTAACTACTTACTTGAAAGGCAGAATTTGGGGGAGAGAAACAGAAATCTTCCATCCACTAGTTCACTCTCCAAATGGCTGCAATGGCAGAGTTGGGCCAGTTGGAGCCAGCAGCTAAGAACTTCCTCTTGGTCTCTCAGGTGGGTGCAGAGGTCCATGTACCTGGGCCACCAATGCATCAGGGAGCTGGACTGGAAGTGGAGCAGCTGGGACTCAAACTAGTATACTGCAAGTTGAGGCTTTACCCATAACACCACAGGACCAACCCAAATATATATTTTTTAATTGAATCCCTAAATTTCCTTGTGATCCCAAAGAGTCATTGACCTCTTCATAGCCAGGAAACCACCACTGCTTCATGGAAAACCAAAGTGCCTTCATCAACAATTGCTGAGGAATGATACATAATAGGACCTGATTGTCTTGTTCTGCTGGCACCTTGCCTTTACCTTGGTCGAACCTGGCATGTAGAAGAGAAAACAGAGGAGCCGAGATTTCTTCATATCCAGCAATAAAACAGTTCAGGGTCCATGTTATTACTGTCTGCAAACCTCCTCTACCCCTGCGGGTGTGTTTGTGAGCACACGAGTCCACGGCCAATCTGAAAATAATGATACAAAGGGGAGTGTGCAGGTTTCCTGGTTATGAGTTTCTCAAGCTCACTGTGGAGTAACTGTTTGCTTTCTGATTAATGTGGATTTCTGGAAAAGAAGACAGTGGCTAACAGAGGTTCTGCAACATTGAACTTTGTTTCCCAGAAGCAAGTGGGAAGAGAGCTTTGCTACTGAACTCCAAGATAGAATGCAGGAATCAGGTACTGAAATAGCAGAATACTAAAAGAAAAGAGCACAGGGCTGCTTGGGCCAGGGAGGATGTATTAGTCCTTCAAAAAAGCGTGTGAACTTTAACTGGGATTAAAAAATAAGAGTTGTGGGCCCGGCGTGGCACAGTGGTTAAGGTCCTCGCCTTGCATGCCCGGGATCCCATATGGGCGCCGGTTTTAATCCCGGCAGCCCCGCTTCCCATCCAGCTCCCTGCCTGTGGCCCAGGAAAGCAGTTGAGGACGGCCCAAAGCTTTGGGACCCTGCACCCGTGTGGGAGACCCCGAAGAGGCTCCTGGCTTCAGATCGGCATAGCATCGGCTGTTGCGCTCACTTGGGGAGTGAATCATCAGACGGAAGATCTTCCTCTCTGTATATCCACCTTTCCAATAAAAAAAATCATAAAAATAAATCTTAAAAAAAAAAGAAAAGAAAAAAAAATAAGAGTTGCTTTGAGTAGAAGAAATTTTGAAAGCCATGCAGGTTTTCATAATGTACATTTTACATGCAATATATGAAGCCTCCTCCCAAAATAAACAAAAAGAAACAAAAAAAAACAAAACAAACAAGAACCCCACTTATTTACTTGAAATGCTGAGTTGGAGATAGGGAGAGACCAATTTCTTCCATCTGTTGGTTTACATCCAAATGGCCACAACTGCTGGGAAACAGCTGGGCTCAGAGTCCAGGCTTGGCTTCTGCTTCCAGCAGGTGATGGCTCCCGTACACGGGTCCCTGCCACCCACACAGGTGACCTGGATGGAGTGCTTGGCTCCTGGCTCTGGCATGGCCATCCACAGTTGTTATTGGCATTTGGGATGGGAACCAGTGGGTGGAACATATTTGCCTGCCTCTGTCTCTCAAATAAATGAAAAGAAATATTTAAAAGAGAGCATTCCAAAGTAACTACCATTATTTAAACTGTGGCCCTATGAAATTTTAAAAAAAGTTTTTCTCTGACGCTTTTCTCTGATGCTTTCTTAAATCAATGTGTAATACCTTTGCTCTTGTTCTGCTCCTTTAATCAAACTCCATAAACAGAAGAGGAAGCGCTGCAGTTGGGTATAGCACAGTTAGCTTTCATTAGCTTAGGAGAGCAGATTCCCATTAAAATGTCTATTTAATTCTCCCAATTTCTCCCTGGTAGCTACAGAGGGGACATTAGAAGTTGGCTCTCAATCTCTGTGGGTTCTGCATCCAGGGATTAAATTAATCATGAACAAAAAATTTTCCGAGGAAAAAACTGGATCAGTATTGACATAGACAGTACATTTTTTTCTTGTGATTAGAACCTTAACAATACAGTATAACAACTAATGATACAGCATTTAACACTTACTTTGTAATATGTCAGTTATATTAAATATCAAAATTCTATCAATTTACTTAAAGTATCAACATCTAAAATATCTAACACAGGTAAATACAAACAAAACAACAAACAAAAGAAGGCAGGGCCTGGCACATTAGCTTAGTGGCTCAAGTCCTCACCTTGCATGCACTGGGATCCCAACTGGGCACTGTTTCTAATCCCAGCGGCCCTGCTTTCCATCCAGCTCCTCCGAATGCCTTGGCACCCTGCACCTGTGTGGGAGACCTGGAAGAAACTCCTGGCTCTGGATTGGCGCAGCTCCAGCTGTTGCAGCCACTTGGAAGACTGAATGGAAGATCTTTCTCTCTGTCTCTCTTCCTCTCTGTGTATCTGTCTTTCCAATTATAAAAACAAAAACAAACAAATAAAATGGGCAAATCCACAGAGGCAGAAAAAGAAAAAGAAAGAACAAAAGAAAGAAAGACAGTTAAAGAGTCATCAACCCAATTTGAGCACTTGGAATTTTGACAAAGGATAGTTACACTTAACAGGAAAGTAATCCAGAGTAGTACCAGGTAAGCTGTGGTTGGGTGTGTTTTTAACATGGAGCACACAAACTGCATCTTAGACGCTATCCTGGGCTGAACCCTATTCTGCTGATCCACAAACTTCCTGTTTTTCCCAGAATCTTTGTGAGATTACAAAGACTTATTAAGCAGAGAGTTAAATTTCTGAGGCTCAGAAAATCTATAACATTTACAATGAACATTTCTAACAGACGAGTTATTTACACTAGGAATGAATATACTCAATATTTATTTTAAAAGAAAAATAAGAAGGGAGGGAGGGAAGCTGGGGATGCTGTTAGTCCTTCGCTGGCTTACTTGCACGCCCGTGGTCGGCGTTGTCAGGCAGCTGCACTCCCATGCTTTGCAAGAGGTTGGAAGCAGGTCCTGCCAGTCCTGCCTGGGAGCTGTAGGATTCCAGGATGTTGGAAACCAGATTCAGGTCCACATCCACTGGAGTCATGACTGATTCGCCTGCACCAGAATCTTCCTCGTCTGAGTTGTTATTAGTTTGGGATGAAGGCTCCTAGTTCAAGAAGGAAACACATTCATGAGATAATACCCCCTTGGTTGGATGTTGCATACAATAAAGAGGAAATTTCTTATCTTTTGTGATATGGGGTGAAAATTAAGTACATATTAAGGGGCAGTGTCTTGGTGTAGTACGTTAAGCGCCTCTGCCTGTATTGCTCGCATTCCATATGAACGCTGGTGCAAGTCCCACCTCCTCCACTTAAGATGCAGCACCTTGCTAGTGTTCCTGGGAAAGCAGTGGAGCATGGTCCAAGTCCTTGGTCCCAACAGCCACAGGGGAATGAACCAGCACATGGAACCTCTTTCTCATCTCTTTTTCTCTCAAACAAAAACATATTTTTTAATATCTTTTTTCTTAAAGATTTTTTTTTTTTTGAAAATTATATCTACAGAGAGAAAGATCTTCGATCTGCTGTTCACTCCTCAAGTAGCTGGAACGGCTGGTGTTGAGCTGATCTGGGTCTCCCACACAGGTAGGCCTTGGGCCGTGAGGCCACAAGCAGGGAGCTGGAAGAAAAGCAGAGCAGCCAGGATACGAACCGGCACCTATATGAGATCCTAGTGCATGCAAGACGAGGACTTTAGCCATTAGCATCTTTAAAATAAAACAGTTCATTCTAAAGATATGGCATGCCACATTCTAGTAAAAATATTAGTAAACTGAATAATTTCATCCATGCTAATAAACAGCCTAAAGGAGACAACTGTAATTATAGCCTGTTAAAGAATTTTTAAAGAAATTGACATAAATATGAATATTTTAATAGGAAGCAATCAAAATTTTCTTTTACATGAAACTACATTTCCTTTTCAGTCCTCAATGAAAATGCTAAAATAAAAATATCAAGTTTCTTGGGGAACAATCACAAAGACAGTCTCATCTGCTCTCTTTCCGACCCAACTCCCTGCTAAGGTCCTAGGGAAACAGCAGCAGATGTCTCAAGTGCTAAAGCCACTGCACACACGTGGAAGACTGAGAAGAAGCTCCAGGCTCCTGTTCTGGACTGGCTCAGCTCTGGCTGAGTGAACCAGTGGATGAAGACCTCCCTGTCTTTCAAATAATAAAATAAATCTCATTTTTTAAGTATGCAATCGTATACTTAGAGTATGTTCTATGACTATTTTAAATCCTGATAACATAAAATATGTAATAAAATTAAGATTTTTAGAAAATAAAAATCTAATATTTTGTTCTATGACAGGGAAAAATAGCTTTCTTATTTACTTACTCAAATATCACAAATTTAAAAAGATAAGGTAAAAAACACAATTTGAGAGCTATCCTGTAAAACAGATTCAGAAAGGGAAATGAAGTTAAAACCACACATACTGCTTGTTTCCGGGTGGTGAAGCTTTTGCCAATGTTGGTGTGAGCCAGTTCCCGATCCATCTGCGCCATGTATAACCTGAGATTATCCAGCGTCCCTTTCAGAGAGGCCTCTTCCCCAGAGCCCTGCAGCCCAAGGTCCGTGTTGTCGTCGCTGTCTAAACATTCCTCATCTTCCTCCTCCAGATCATCAGAGTCTGACTCAGGAGGCCTTGGTCCTACACACAGCACAACATCAAAAGAGCCACTTGATGAAACACTTTTTGATTACATCTCTCCAAACAACTAAGAATGTTATACACAGAAAAACAGCATTAAACATAGCCAAGTTACTTTACAAAAATCTTCCACAAATGGTAATGCTGGCAGATACAGGAAAGTATACAGGCTGAGCCAAAGGATTTCGCTTTTTTTTAAAGATTTATTTATTTTTATTGGAAAGTCATATATACAGAGAGGAGGAAAGACAGAGAGGAAGATCTTCCATCTGATGATTCACTCCCCAAGTGACTGCAACAGCCGGTGCTTCACCAATCCGAAGCTAGGAGCCAGGAACTTCTCCCAGGTCTCCCATGCAAGTGCAGGGTCCCAAGGCCTTGGGCCGTCCTTGACTGCTTTCCCAGGCCACAAGCATGGAGCTGGATGGGAAGTGGAGCTGCCGGGATTAGAACCAGTGCCCACATGGGATCCTGGCGCGTTCAAGGAGAGGACTTTAGCCACTAGGCCATCACACTGGGCCCAGGATTTAGCTTTTTAAAAGTGAATTTCAATCACCAAGATATTTTTTCTTAAAAAAAATTTAAAACTACATAGTACAAAAATATTGATTAAGTCATACAGAAATACTGTCATATTTCACGACCTTCCCAGAAATAGGCATCTTTTTAAGCAGTTAGGTAGATTTCCAGACATCTTGCAGCTGTATATACACACTAATATAAGTACATAGGTTTGCTTTATACACAGATTTATCAGTGTTCAAACTGAATTATTTCTTCTTCTATTTATTTATATGTCTTAGACATTTTTCTGACTGAATACAGATATAGACCTTATCTGAATTACAGCTGTTTATATTTCATAATTTGGAAACAAAATGACTTATTTAAACCTCTCAACAAATGTTTAGGATATTTCGGCTTTTTGCAGTTAAAAATTTTACAATGCCTGTACTAGTACATATAAAATTACTACAAACAGTTTATGGAAAAATGGAATCAGGGACAGGCATTTGGCACAGTGGCTAGGTAATCACCTACAACCCACTAAGAGTTCCTGGTTTAAGTGCTTGGGCCCTTGGCAACTATGTGGCTGACGTGGGTGGAGCATCAGGCTCTTGGCTTCAGCCTGGCCTTGCAATTGCTGTTGCAGGTATTTGAGAAATGAACAAATAGATGGAAGATCTTTCTGTTTCTCTTACAGATAAAATTAAAAGAAATAGATAAAAATTTTACAATTGAAATAAGTGTGTAAGTTAGTATTTAGCCTACTGGCTAAGAAGTCAGAGTTCGTGGCTTTGAGGTCAAGCCCTGTCATCTAAAGGCAGCTTCCTGCCAGTTTAGGCCCTGGGAGGCAGCACTGATGGCTCAGGAATTGAGCTCTTGCTACCCTATGGAGACCTGGACTGCATTCCAGACTCCCAGCGTTAGTTCTGGCCGACCTCAAGATGTATGCAGTGAACCAGCAGGTGGAATAACTTTCAGGCAAACAAAATTTTGAAAGAAGGATAAATTTGTATCGGACACAAATATCTGAAATACACATAAACTTTTCTCATAATAAACCTTTCCATATTTTTTTGAAAATTTCTCATATGCATCAATTTCTATTTTTTGGGGGGCAAAAAAACAAACATCTTTTAATTCCATTCTCCACGAACTGTCTTGAAGCATGCTCATGTATCTTTTTCAGGGTAAATCCACAGACGTCAACGTGCAAAGTCACTAGGTATGAAAAATCTAGTGGCAAACTGCTCTGCAGAAAAACAACACTCACTTCAACAACACTCAGCTTCCGTGCTCATTTTCCTCCGTCCTTGAAACTACCAATTATGAATCTATAAATTTTTTCCAATATGATGGACAGCTGATCTGTATTATGTATTTACTTACTCATTAGCAATAGTTAATTATTTCCAAATAGTGACTATTTACATTTCTTCTTTAGTGCACTGCCTGTTCATATTCTTATTGTTATTCTGTTCATGTTCTTATTGGGCCATTTTTCTTTTTTTTAAATTGACTTGCAAGTATAGTAAGTCTAAAAGAGAATAGACTGTGGGAGCCAATGCAATATTGTCTCTCAACAAATCACACTCACTCAGCCTTCTCTTGAGCGGCAAACCTGGTTAGCCTCTGCACAATCACGTCATAGGGCAGTAATTCACAGCTGGGAGAAACTCAAAGCAGATTTTATGTTTTCTGACAGATTTAATGCTCTCATGCTCCATGAACAGCCACAGGATTTATAGCTGCAGAATCAAAGTAAATATTTTGAAAAACTTACCTAAGATCTTATCAAAATAATTAAGAAAAGACTCTTCATCAAAAGTGACTGGAGCCTCACAAGGTTTTCTGCAAAATTAAAGCAAAAGGACAATTAAAATATGGCCAACGTGACTCTGATACCTTTCAAAAGTACTGCCATTCTCAGGAAAACTGCAAAGACATAACCTCAAAATGGAGACAGCAGGGAAGATTACAATTAAAATTTATTTTTTATTTTATTTTTTTAAGATTCATTTATTTTTACTGAAAAGCCAGATACACAGAGAGGAGGAGAGACAGAGAAGAAGATCTTCCATCCTATGGTTCACTCCCCAAGTGATCGCAACGGCCAGAGCTGAGCCAAGACTAAGCAGGAACCTATCCAGGTCTCCCACACAGGTGCAGGGTCCCAAGGCTTTGGGCCATCCTTGACTGCTTTCCCAGGCCATAGAGCAGGGAGCTGGTTGGGAAGCGGGGCTGCCAGGATTAGAACTATGCCCATATGGGATCCTGGCACATTCAAGGTGAAGACTTCAGCCACTACACTATCATGCCAGGCCACGCAATTAAAAATTTAAAATCCTCACACTTAATGCTCTTGCAAGGGTGCAGAAATAAGAAAGTTTGAGGAAGAAAAGGAAAACATGTTCATGCACACCGAGCCTGGTACCACCTTGTACCTCCCACAAGACTTTGTATCTAGTTAGCCACAAAGGTCACTTACCTGAGTTCATCTAAATCAGGGTGGGGAACCAGACCCCTACCCCCCCCCCAAGGAACATCTGGAAATTCAAAAGCATTACTCATTGGCCACACAAAAGTACTGACATAAAAATTTGCCTGTTTTTGACTTGTTGGATTTCATATCCCACCTAAAACTGCCTTGGCAGGGCCAGACTAAACTATTTTGTGGGCTTATATAGTCCCAGGTCAGACATTTTCCACCCATGAACTGAATAAAGTTTATTTCTTTATGCAAAACTTAAAAAATAATTAACATAACTTTTGTTATCTCAGACTTCTTAAGGAGAGAAACATGACTTTAAACAGTATTTTCATGAGGCTCAAAAGCATCAGATCAACAGATACATCTTTAGGCAGAATCAAGTCTAACCTATCCTTCCCCTGTTACTTGCCTCGTGTAATTTCACATTTCTTCAGATAATTTCTGCCTATTATAAAAGGCTCTTTTCCCCCTTCTTTTAAATTTGCAGATTCCAATTTGCTACAGAATGGGAATGAGAATCCTGAGCATACTGAGACCAACTTTTTAAAAAAAAATTTAAAGATTAATTAATTTGAAATTAGAATTATAAACAGAGGGACAGAGAGACAAAGACAGAGGGAGAAAGACCTACCTACTGGTTCACCCCCAACTCGCCACAATGACCAGGACTGGACCAGGCCAAAGCCAGGAACTGGAACATCATTTCCTGGTCTCCCACATGTGTGCAGGAGCCCAAGGCCCTGGACCATCTTCTGCAGATCAGCACATAGCTGGATTGACAGTGGAACAGCTAGGACTGGAAGCAGAGCCCACATGGGATGCTAATACTTCATGTAGCAGTGTAGCCTGCTGCAGCCACAGCACTGGTCCTAGAGCTAAATATTTTCACTTAAAAAAAAGAGTATTTTTTGGAGGTAGAGCGAAAGAAAGCAAGAAACAAGTGCTAACATACGCTGGTTCATTGCCCAAATGCCTGCAAAAGCCAGGGTTAGGCAGAGCTGGAGTCAGAGACTGGAACACAATCCAAGCTCCCACAGAGATGGCGGCTATTCAATTACTAGAGCATTCTTGGGAAGCAGGAGTCAGTGGAACTGGGCCTTGAACTCCAATTTGGGAAAGGGCATCTTAATCATACGATTAAATCCTGCTCAGAATCCTAACAACCTCTTAACAGGAGGTCATATGCACAGAGCAGGGGCGGGGGGGGGGAACCCCAGAGTGGAGCAGGCGGACAGGAGGAGGCTTGTATCCCAACCCTGAAGACTCCCAGATCCTCACCAAGGACTAACAGTACCAGCACCGAGGACTACACCCCAACTGCCAAGGAGACCACGGGGAATTGGAGTGCCTTCGGAGGCCGAGAACTCTGAGGTCACACACCCCCATTTGGATCTAACACATGGGATGGAAAAAAAGCCCAAATTCTGCCTTGCAAGATCCAAGGTCATCTGAACAACAACCAGGAGCACTGAGTGGTCTGCAGAAACAGAACAGTAAACTTCCTTCGGGACTAGGGAGAGGAGCTTTCTCTGGTCCTTGCCTGGTTCCGACTTTGGGTCCCCACCCTCTCTTGTAATGACCATCAGGATCACTAAAGAAACCCCTCAAAACAAACAAATAAACAAAAAACCTAGAATAGAGAACAAGGAAAGCTTAGAAACAGGCAGGAAACGGTCAGCGGGGATGCACTTATAACTCACTGGGTGGGACACAAAGATTAGTTGCTCCTCACTGGGGTATTGAAGATTTCTCTGCACACCCCTCCTAAAACTGTTCACCTAAACTGCTGACATATGTCTTGTTAGAGTTATAGAGTTAGACTACCTGAAAAACAGCCAGGTTCAGCAAAATCATACTTCAACGCTATAAACTCCTAAATACTAAAATTAAAATGGACATGAGACAGTTGAATAGTAATCTATAGCCATTTTAAGGTGTATAGAACCCAGCTGTATATAAACTAATAATTGAAATGTCAATGTAAAAGTCATATGATGTGGTTCAGAATTTGCATTCTTTTTTTTTTCCTCTTTTAACATTGGTTATTCAATACCATGTCAACTAATTCCACAACATTATAAATTGTTATTGATGTAATGTCGGGGCTTTTAATTGATCGGGATGATACTCTGCCAGCTCTACCTTCAGACCAGAGATGGTCTCCCCAAGAAACCGCTGAACTTATCTGGACAATAAGATGCTGGACTTTATGCTTGGTAGATGCTTGCAATGAAAGAATCTCAACTGAATTTGAACTGTGGTAATGCAACAAGGTGGAGGAATCCACCATGGAGGGGGCGTTGAGGAGGGGTGAGGGAAATCCCAGTGCCTATAAAACTGTGTCATATAATGCAATGTAATCAATAAAAAAAAAAAAAAGATTAAATAAAGAAATAAATCCTGCTCAGATGTTCAGAGTCCATAAAGCATGTGATTTTCCTGCATGCTTCTAATTGGTGCCTTCTGGATCTGTGGAGTAGTTTTTTTGTCTTCCTGCAAGAATTATGAAGAATCAGACTCCTGGACACCTTATTGCAGGGAGGGAGGGAGGAGAGGGAGAAGGAGAGAGAGGGAGAGACAGAGAGAGAGAAAGAAAAGAAATACAAATGGAAATGGCTATGACTGATGATTTCAACATGTGGGTTATCACAGTATCTATACTTTAACCAGTTACCGAGGCAGCTCTGCTCCCTTGTGGGTTGAGACTTTGGATATGAAAGCTCTCATGCTCTGTGACACTTGATTCAAGTCATAGTTCTGCTCCTCTTCCTCCTTGGAAACAACCTGTGGTTCTTTTTTGCCACTGGCTTCCTGCAGTAGCTGATCCAACTGATCTGGTGAGAGATCTAACCATTTATCATCTGAAAAAGCAGAAAAGCATGATATAACCATTCAGGTCCTCTCAAGAAAGGATCACATGAAACCTACTGAAATACTTTCATTCCTTACAATGCTTTCCCTCTGTCTGGTCCATCACTTACCATCCTCTGGGGGAAGGTTAGCCTCTTCTTTCCTAAGCTCCTCTATTTCAAATGGTATCGTCTGTAATAAGCTTAAGATCTCTTCACCTGGACTCATGGCAAGGGAGCTATAAAAAATAAAATATGAGTTGAAAAACATTGAGCACGGATGTTAAATATTTTCCCCACAAAAATGACAACCATATGAGGTATGTTTTAATCTTTAAACAATTTAGATAGATACCAAAACATTTTGTAGAGAAATACACAATCTTACGTTGATTTTAAATAAATAAAATTAAGATTGTAAAAAATATACTATAGCTCATTTACCCACTAGTGATGGACATCTCAGTTGCTTATAACTTTTTATTATTAAAATCTTTAGGAAATGGGACCAGGGCTGTAGCCTGGGTTAAAGCACTGCCTTATGATGCTGGCATTCCACATGGATACCAATTTAAGTTCCACTGTTCCATGCTCTACTTCTGACCCAGATCTGCTTACGGCCTGGGAAAGCAGCAGAGGATGGCTCAGGTCCTTGGGACCCTTTATCCAATTGGAAGATCCAAGAGAAGCCAGGGCTGCTAGCTTCGGATGGGCTCAGCTCTGGGTATTGCAGCCTTCTAGCGAGTGAACCAGAGGATAGAAGATCTCCCTATCTCTCTTTCCCTCTCTGTAAAATGTGGTTTTCAAATAAAAACTAAACTAAAAAAAAAAAAAAAGACTTCTCTGCCTCTATAAAAACACCACTCTACAGTGTAGTGAGTTAAGTGCTATTGCAGTGGCAGCATTCCAAAACTGGGTGACAGTTTAAGTTCTGCTTTTCCCTGCTAATCTACCTCGACAAGTGACAGAAGTAGGCCCGAGTACTTGGGGGGCACCTGTACCCACAGGAAACCTGGAAGAAGCTCCTGGCTTCAACTTGATCCAGCCCCAGCCACCTTTCAAATTAATTAGTTAATTAATTAATTAACCTTTAATTGCTTTTAGAAGAAGGGAGATGCAGAGATACATTTTTTTCCTTTGACAAAAATATTAATTAATTAGCAAGATAAAGTGACAGAGAGAAAGAGATCATCCACTCACTGGTTCACTTCCCAAGTCATCTCAATAGCTGATCCTGAGCCAGGCTGAGCAGAGCCAGGAACTCCAACCGAGCCTCCTGTGTATGTGGTACCGGGGCCAGCGCATGAGCCACCACAGGGAGGCACATTGCAGCGAATTGGACCAGAATTAGAGCAACCACATAAGCATCACATAACATCATAACCATAACTCACCTTTCCGGCCTGTTTACTGACAGCTGGAAGTAGTTCTTTGCCATTTCAAGTCTTTCCTGGTACTTAGTAGAACCTTCAATCAATTCCTTAAAAAAACGAATAGTATTCTATGAGATAATTATTTAGAGGGTGTCATTAAAATCATCTAAATAACCTCTTCAGCAGGGACTTTCAGGATAGCAGTCTATGACATATTGCTCAGGAATCAAGATAACTAGTCCCTGAATTGTCAGTAGTGTTCCTGTTTGGGTTCCAGCTTCGGGTGAAGGGATTAGGCTAGATGTAGTGGTTCCTAATCCTTTTCATTATTTAGGGTCTCCAATTTGAAAGGTTTTCTACTATCTTCTGTTACTTACTCACTTAAAATGTGCCAAATGGAACCAAAAGTATCCTAATTTCATCATAATGCCTTTTCTACATGCACATTTTATTGGTATTAATATTCTATATTGTATTCATTTTTTAAACTCATTTTTATAGGGAAGGAGACACAGAGACATACATACAGAGATCTCCTATTACTGGTTTATTCCCTAAATGCCAACAACAGCAGGGACTAAGGCCTGCCAAACCCAGGAGCCTGGAACTCAATCCCAGGCCGTCCATGTGCTTAGCAAGGATCTAACAGCTTGAACCGTCACCTGCTGCCTCGTACGTAAGTGTGAGTGGGAAGCCTGAATTGGCAGTGGAGCTAGGACACAAACCTAGGGATCCAGACAGGAATGTGGGTGTCCCTAGCAGCATCTTAAGTACTATGCCAAACAGCCACCCCTTAATATTTCACATAATTTTTCTCAAATGATTTATTTATTTGAAAATCAGAATTACAGAGAAAAAAGAAAAACCAAGAAGTGCGGGCAATTTTTCATTCACTGGTTCACTCCCCAAAAGGTCACACAGCCAGAGTTGGGCCAAGAACAGGCTAGAAGCCAGGAGATTCATCTAGGACTCCTACGTGGGTACTGAGACTCAAGGCTTTGGGCTGTCCTTCACTGCTTTTCCTGGCCATTTGCAGGGAGCTGGATGGGAAGTGGAGCAGCCAGAATTCGAACCAGCCCCGATTTGGGATCCAGGCACTTTAGGGGCGAGGATTAGCCAAACGAGTCACTGTGCTAGGCCCATAAGGCTGAATATTTAAAGAGAAATTTCTTAGCTGTCTTTGTAATTTTTATTCATTTTCTGCTTAATGTCCTACCTAGAATCTTCACATTTACATTCTAAATTTTTATAAGCTGCTCATCTGGACACACAATGATTTATGTCATCTACTACAAATTATCATTTATTATCAACAAATAGTAGAATCCTCATTATCACCTTTCAACATCTTGAACAGCACTGAGCCAGAGAGGTCTCTGTTCACACTGGCTTCTACAGCTATGTTACACATTTAATGCAGACCAAGGGACTTTAGAATCACTGGAGTGAATTTCCCTGGTTTATATATTTCAAAAACTACATTGCAAATCTCACCTTAAGGGCCCAGCGGCGTGGCCTAGTGGCTAAAGTCCTAGCCTTGAATGCCCTGGGATCCCATATGGACACCAGTTCTAATCCCGGCAGCTCCACTTCCCATCCAGCTCCCTGCTTGTGGCCTGGGAAAGCAGTCAAGGACGGCCCAAAGCTTGGGACCTTGCACCCGTGTGGGAGACCCGGAAGAAGTTCCTGGATCCTGGCTTTGGATCAGCATAGCACCGGCTGTTGTAGTCACTTGGGGAGTGAATCATCCAGACGGAAGATCTTCCTCTCTGTCTCTCCTCCTCTCTGTATGTCTGACTTTCCAATAAATAAATAAGTCTTTTAAAAAAATCTCACCTTAAAGTAATCATTCTTTTTCAGACTTTCAAGGAAGCTGGCCCACAGTGGGGAGGTAGTCATGAAGGCCTTTTTGGAGTCGGAAAAATGTGGACTACATTTGGAGCATAAGATCTCAAATCCATGAGCCTGCATAAGACAGAATTTTGACGATTAAATGCTTCCTTTAAAAGTGTCATCTTTCATTTCCCTTCCATTCAGCCACACTCAGTGATGGGGCACATGTACACGTGAATAGCCATCACACTTTTAGAATTTTATGAAAAATGTGAATTTATTTCCAAGTTTTCTAATTTCTATTAAATTCTAAAAATCAAAAATGAAATGAAAATGACACAAAACAAAGATCCCATAAATCCAAAGATCCAATATGGGATGCAGACATCCTAAGTTGCAATTTATTATTCCAAATGCCTGCTTTGATTTTTTTTTTTTTTTTGGTAATTCTGCCTGCTCAATATTGTTATATTGAACTAAAAGTCACTGTATTACTTCTTCTGTGGATTGCTTGGTCATAGTTTCTGAACCTTTCTAAAAAATTCTTTTTTTGAAAGCGGAAGAGACAGAGCTCCCTCCTGCTGGCATACTCGCCAAATGATCACAACAGGCAGGGCAAGGTCAAGGCCAAATGCAGTCAAGTCCCTGGGTAATGGGAACTCAGTTACTCCAGCAAGCACTGCCGCCTTCCAGAGTCTTCATTAGCAGGCAGCTGGAGACAGAAACCCGAGGCGCCACTCAAATGCAGATGCTCTGAGATAGCACGTGGGCATCCCAACTAGCCACGCAACTGCTAAGCCAAATGCCAGTGCTGTTTCATGTGAAGAACGAAGGTTTGTTATCTTCTGGCTTTAACGAGGTTTTTCTTTTCCACACTTAATTTTGACAAAATCAATTTTATTAATCTTTTTTAAAAATGGCTTCCAAATTTCAACCCAAGTCAGATTATAATAAATTCTCTTGTGTTTTCTCTCAAATTTAATTTCTACATTTAAGCACTTGAACCCGCTGGAATTTATTTCGTTCTAGGTATAGCAGAATTAGTTTTAACTTTGCAGATGGCTTCACAGCTATCCCATCACCAACTACTCATTAATCAACTGCTTACTTTTCACTTAAAATGTCACATTCTACAATATTTGCACAAACACAAGGTAGATTTCAGATTCCTATACTGTGTTATTATTACACAAACTGTTTCATACGGAGCTTCAAAAAAACATTTTTTAGTTCAATCTTACCAACTTCATGCCCAATTCATGGGCTCGGTATTGGGGATGAGATGGAGGAGGCAGTGTGTACCCGCTCCGCCGGTCAGGCAGAAACCTTTGTTGTACCAACTGTGCATACAGACATTTTGTGAAAGTGACCTGGGCATTGAGACATAAAACACATGAAAAGCTCAACATCATTTCATAGCTAAATGTAACAATAAATCCATTTATGAGCATCTCATTCATATGAAATTTAAAGACAATCCAACCAATTCAATGCCTACTTGTTTTCAATAATAATTTTCTGTAGATATAACACACAAAATTTATCTTACAGCTTAGTTAGTTATCATTTATTATTAATTATGCTATGTGGCAGGTTTGTAGGAGAAATGAACTTATTGTCAAAAAGGAAATACTTATAGGAAAAGGAAACACAGAGATACAAAATGGGGAGTCTGGTGTCTTGAAAGCTTTTCTCCACAGCATGGAGAAAAAGAAAAATATGCACACTAACTTGTTATGAGGAAAACAAGTCTTTTCAATTTTTTTAAAGACAACCAAAATACCTTAACTTTTTTGGCAGTGAGAAAAACTAAACCAAGAGGGATATCTCACCGATGTCATTACTCGGGTTTCAGGTAAGAAGGTCTTAAAAACCCGACAGGCTCGCAGATCAATGGGGTCCCGTAGGTAGAAGGCTTGGACTGCCGCAGCCACCAGCCTGGGGCGCTGCCTCAGCACTGCTGCAATGCCCGCTGGGAGGAAGCAGTGCGCTCGGTGCAGGGAGGCTTCCAGCTTCCCTGGGTACCTAGACAGATAACAGTTACTTTGCCTTTACAATATGCATATATCTAGAATTCTTATAACATTCACCTCCCTATTAAGACCTTATCTGGTACTGGTTCATCCAGTCTAAGATTTAGAGTGCCAAGAAAAGTAAAACTAAGACTGTATATATTTAAGACTATAGAAAAGCAAAGATGGCAAAAAATGTGGATAAAATGGAAACAAAGGTAAAGGGTTATGGCATCTCAATAAAAAACAAATGAAAAACTATTACCACACTCATTTTGGAATAAGGATAAAATCAGAATCTTTTCTTCAAAGTATACTAAATTAAAGTTAGGAATCTCACATATGGGGGCATGCCCGACTGGGTTAGGACGCAGCAACACCCCCTTCCCAGCTATGCTGTGGCACTGCAGCACCCATCTGTTTGCATGAGAACTAGGGATGGTGACAGGCCCAGCCAGGCTGAACCACGGAACTAACCAACACTCACTAGAGCTAGGGCTGGGAAGAGGCTGGGCTGTATCTGGCTACAACACCCACCAGCACTTGCAAAGGCAATGACAGAGGGTGGACCATGCCAGCAGGGCCGTGGCATGCACTGGCACACAGGAGATCCAGATCTGGTTGAGGAACTTGGAGAACTTCCTGCTAGGCTACAGCTCCTGCTGGGGGGCACAATAGCCAGGGTTGGAGGCAAGTCAGGCCAGACCGCACCAAGTTGCAGCACCTAAGGCACACTGGAGAGCTATAAAGGGCTATGGGTCACACCAGGCTGGGCTGGGCTGTAACACCTGCCGGCAAGAGCTGAGACTGGAGGTGGGCCATGCCAGCCTGGGTCAAAGTATCTGCCAGCACATGCAAGATCTGGAGCTGGGATGGGTCTGAACTTGGGGGAACTTCCTTGTACACGTAGATGAAGGAACCACTGAGCTAGACTAGCCTGGGGGAATTCCCTTGTAAGGCTACAGCTTCCACTGGTGAATACAAGAGCCAAGGCTATGGATGGTATGGGCTGGGCAAGGCTATAGCACCTGTTGGCATGCATGTGGGCTGGGTCTGGGGTCAGGCCAAACTGGGCCAGGCCCCAGCATCTGCTGGCAGTCGCCAGAGCCAGAGTGGGTGCGGGGTTGGCTGGGCTAGATTACATCGTCTACTGGGTCACAGGTAAGTCTGGGGTCAGCATACTCAGATCCAGGGCTGGGAGTGGAACTTGGAGAACTCCCTTACTAGGTCATGGCTCCCTCTGGAGAGTGTGGGAACTGGGGCTGAGGGCAGGCCAGGCCAGGCTGGACTGTAGCACCAGTTGGCATACGTGTGGGCTGGGTCTAGGGGTAGGCTGGGCTAGGTCAGTCCATAGCATACACTGGCATGAATGAAAGCCAGGACAAGGTACAGACTAGGCTGGATTAGGCTATTAACACCTGCCAATTCACATAGCGCTAGGGTTGGGGGTGGGCCAGGCTTAGGTATGCTGCTTGGGCTCTGGTAACTTCCTTCCTGCCTGAAACTTTGTACTGCGTGGCTTCAATCTGATTGGAGGATGAGAACTTGAACAACCCTGACTTTGTCGGCTATGCACAGTGGCTCCGGCAGTGAGGGAGCTGCTGTCACCAAGCTTGGACAATAAAGATTCCTCTTAATATCCTATACTTGGGTCCAGTGTGATCTCTCTCACACTCTGCAACACAGTCAGCCAATACACTTTAGAAAGATTTTCTCAACCCTGGTGCAAAGAAACCAATGATTCTGAACTATCAAAACCATTCAAGTAACATCCTTGGAACATTCTTTCCCACATCAGGGTCACTATCCATTAGTGAGTCACTATCCATAAGTCATCATCCATTAACCATATCCCCTTCCCTGGTGCTGATGTAGTTTGAATGGACCCCTCCTCCCACGTTGTAGAAAAAAAAAAAAAAACAGAAAAGCTGAAACAATTGTCCTATCCACCTCCCTCCATATCTCAATCCTCTATATTCTAACTGGAAGCCCACATGGGTATGCATTTCTCTCAACTAAGCAAATAGTACTAAAAATTAAATTAAAACCTACATCTATAAAAGAATCCAATGAGACCCAAGAGCCACGGAATCACCTGTGGAATGCTGTGCTGCTTTCTGCACACTTTCAAATGTGTATTTATTTATTTATTTATTTATATTGGAAAGACAGATTTACAGGAAGGAGAGACAGATCTTCCCTCCACTGGTTCATTTCCCATAGGGCTGCAACAGCCGGAGCTAATCCAACATCTGGAGCTGATCCTATCTGAACCGGAGCTAATCCAACATCTGGAGCTGATCCTATCTGAACCCTAGAGCCAAGAACCCATTCCGGGTCTCCCCAAACAGATGCAGGGTCCCAAGACTTTGGGCCATCCTCCGCTGCCTTCCCAGGCTACAAGCAGGGAGATGGATGGAAACAGACCAGTTGGGGTTAGAACCAGAACTCATGTGAGATGCTGGTGCTTGCATTTAGAGGGTTAGCCAGTTGAGCCACTGTACTGGCCTCTTAAGCTTTTTGTTATTTCTTTTACTCAGAGACAGAGAGGAAGTGAGAGCCAGTCCCAAGTTCCAACTTTCAATCCTCAGATATAAACAATACTGTACCAACATTTAATACCTAGATTCAACTTTTGCTTTTTTAAACTTTAAAATCTGTAGGTTGGCTTGTCAATTTCACAAAAAGAGAGACAGATGAAATGAAAACTAGCATTAATCTACACAAAGACTCCTGCACTAAAACCAAAGTCCCTTCATGAGCAACACAGCAAGGTTTTTCTTACCCTCTGATGCGTCTATTTATAGCAGCTTGTATGGCTTCAGAGGCCACCACTTTTTCCAGATGTGTTGAGATTATATCCAGTGCCTGTGGGATTGTTGGTGGTGTGGCAGATACCCAGGGTTCTGCTCTAGGTTTCCTTGGTGCAGGAATAATACATAATTCTCCTTGGCAGAAAAACACCTGGAAAATGCCACATTTTTCATTTTCACAATGGGTACCAGTACAATCTTACAGTGTTATAACATGTTTTCTAAAGAGATACACTCACCCTATTGGCACTGTTATCAGGATCTAACCATTTAGGGAGGAAGTCCGCAGCTTCTATTAACAAGAACTCACCATCGTTGTCTTCAATCCTGTAACACAAGACACGTTCCACTTCAACTTAAATATTTGAGAATAAACTATGTACAAATTACACTACAAAAGCAAAATATTTAGAAAACCACCATGAAGCACTCAAGAGACTCTAAGATATTATGGAAAAGGTGGACATTTAGCCTACAGGTGAAGAACACTGGCAAAATGTCCCACATTTCATATCTGAACCCCTGGGTCAAGTTCTATACTGCAATTTCCTTCTACCACAGAACAGGGAGGCAAAGGTAACAGTTCCAGAAACTGGGCTGCTGCCCCCTCCAGGAGAGACCTGAATCGGCTCCGGGCTCTGGCTTGGCCCACACCCCACTGCTGTGAGCACAGGAGGAGGGGGAATCTTTAGTTGGTAGCTTCATCTGTCAGTGTATACCTTGGTCTCTCAAATAAATGAACACATATTTTAAAAAAGATTATAGGGCCCGGCAGCATGGCCTAGGGGCTTAAGTCCTTGCCTTGAACGCCCCGGGATCCCATATGGGCGCTGGTTCCAATCCCGGCAGCTCCTCTTCCATCCAGCTCCCTGCTTGTGGCCTGGGACAGTAGTCGAGGACGGCCCAAAGCCTTGGGACCCTACACCCGTGTGGGAGACCTGGAAGAAGTTCCTGGATCCTGGCTTCGGATTGGCTCAGCCCTAGCCGTTGCCTTACTTGGGGAGTGAACCATTGGACAGATCTTCCTCTCTGTCTCTCCTCCTCTCTGTATATCTGACTTTCCAATAAATACATAAAGCTTTAAAAAAATTTTAAAAATAAAAAATAAAAGATTATAAGGAGAGGTTGAATAAAGATGGTAAGAAAACAAAGGAAGTACATATAGTTTCCTAAATAACATTTGATGAACATGAGAAAACCTACACAGTATTTTTATAGGGTTCCAAAACAAACAAACAAAAAAATGAAACAAAAAAATCAACAAAGATTAAGAAAACTTGTACCTAAGATGTGTTATTTGGGCTTGAAAGAGATTTTCTTTTCATTTGCATCGCTTTTATGTTTTTGAATACGTAATATATTTACGTAATCAAAATATTTTTAAAACACGTAGAATGTTATAGAGCAAAAGTTTCGACGCTACTTTTGTCCCTATTCCTAAATCTCTCACTGCTAGTTCTGCATATTTTTGTTATCTGCTTATGTAAATTTAACTAACAGAAAAATATGTTAATTTTTTTAATTAAAAAGTTTTCATGGGGCTGGTGTGATGTCTCAACTGGCTAATCCTCTACCTTAGAGCACCAGGAATTCATAAGGCCACTGGTTCCTATCCCAGATGCTCCATTTCCCATCCAGCGTGTGTCCTTGGAAGGCAGTAGACGATGGCCCAAAGCCTTGGGATCCCACACCCACGTGGGAGACCAAAAAAAGAAACTCCTGGCTTCTGGCTTCAAACCAGCTAAGCTTCAGCATTGTGACCATCTGGGGAGTGAGGCAGCAGATGAAAGATCTTTCTATCATTCCTTCTCTGCAATTCTGCTTTTCCAATTAAAAAAAAAAAAGAGTTAGATACAGAGATCTTAAACCCATTGGTAAATTCAGATACCTCTACATCTGGGACCACGCCAAGGAGAAGCCAAAGCCAGCAGCAAGGAACTCAATCTGAGTCCCCCAGTTGGGTGGCAGGGCCCAAGTACCTGAATCAGCTATGCAATGGCAGGAAGTTGTAATTGGGAACAAGGCCAGGGCTAAACACAAAAACTCCAATATGGCATGGAGGCATCCTAAGCAACATCAACTTCTATGCCAAATGCCCACACCAAAAATGTATATTCAGGGGCACAATAGGCTAAACTTCCGCCTATGGTCCTGGTGTCCCATATGGGTACCAGTTCATGCCCTGGCTGTTCCACTTCCAAGCAGCTCCCTGTTAACGACCTGGGAAAGGAGTGAAAGATGGCCCAAGTGTTTGGGCCGTTCACACATGTGGGAGACCCAGAAGTTCCTGGCTCCTGGCTTTCATTAAAGGTCCAGCCACTGTAGCCATTTGGGGAGTGAACCAGCAAATGCAAGATCTCTCTAGCCCTCCTAATCTCTGTAACTCTGCTTAACAAATAAATATAAACCTTAAAAAAATAATGTATATACTTTCTCTTTTTACAAAAAAAGGTGCATATTTTATATACCAGCCTATCATTTTTCATGGGTTTTTTTTCTATTTGTGAGGCACACAGACACAGACACATAAAGACTGACAAACACCAAGTTTCCATTCACTGGTTCGCTACCCAAGTGCACACAACAGCCAGGACTTGGCCAGGCTGAAGCTGGGGGCTGACTACTTTCTGCGGGGCTCCTGTAAGGGTGGCAGGGACCCAGCTACTCGAGCCATCAATGCTGTCTCCCAGGATCTGGATCAGCAGGAGGCTGGAGTGAGAAGCAGGATTAGGACACAGACCAAGACATACGGTGTAAGATAAACTTGTCCCTTCCGGTGCCTTAACCACTAAGCCAAAGATCTGCCAGTTCTTTTCACCAACATAGAAGACCTGGATTGTATTTCTTGCTTCCAGCTACTACCCCTGGCACTTGTAGGGAATGAATCAGTGGATGGAGGAACTCTCCCTGCTTTTGAAATGTATTTTTCCAAAATATCTTACTTCAAAAAAAATTTTTAAAGTTCTTTCCCTCCACCCTTTGTCTTTTGTTCTGCTGGGGAAGAGGTTGGGTGGGTAGGAAAAATGGAAAAATCTGGGGACAGAGTAGGAAAACTAGCAATACAGGTGGCTGAAACACTTTCTGCTGGCATTATTAAAGACAATTGTAAGTTGGTATGTTACAATTTCTAAAAATGTACCGTTACCTACTTTGTTTTCTATAAAATTGCTTACTGTTCTCTTTAAACTTCTGTGGTTGATTTCTCAAAAAAATAGACACATGGTCAGGTAAAAGAAAGTCATATTAAAGAAATACATGTGGGTCTGGCGCAGTGCCCTAGCAGCTAAAGTCCTCGCCTTGAAGGCACCCAGGATCCCATAAGGGTGCCGGTTCTAATCCCAGCGGCCCACTTCCTATCCAGCTCCCTGCTTGTGGCCTGGAAAAGCAGTCATGGATGGCCCAAAGCCTTGAGACCCTGCACCCGTGTGGGAGACCTGGAAGAAGTTACTGGATCCTTGCTTCTGATCAGCGCAGCATCGGCCATTGCAGTCACTTGGGGAGTGGATGGAAGACTTCCTCTCTGTCTCTCCTCTCTATATAGCTGACTTTGCAATAAAAATAAAATTAAATAAAAAAGAAATACATATAATACACATACATGTGCATAAATTTTTTGATAAAATATTTATTTTTATTTATTTAAAAGGCAGAGACAGATATCATCCAACCAGAGACAGGTTCACTCCCAAATGGTCCCAACCACCAGGCATGGGCCAGGCCAAAGCCAGAAGCTATATCCTGGTCTCCCACAGCGGAGAAAGGGGCCCAAGTAGTTGCACCACCTTCTGTTCCCTTTCCAGGAACATCAGCAGGAAGCTGGATTAGGAGAGGAGCAGAAGGCACTTGATGCAGCACTCTCAGATGCGATACAGGTATTACACGAGGCCACTCAACCCACCACACAACCAGTGCTGACTATCATGTTGAAATTTTTTCCCTAAGATCTGCAAGAAATTTAACAGTGGTCACATGTGAGAAGTTATTGCAATATAATCTTCTGTACTGCAATTTTGTTTACACAAGTATCTATTCTTTCATAATTAGACTTTAAAACCTAAGACAAGTAGGTTTCATTTGAAATCTTTTGTGAAATGAAGTTTCTCCGTAACATCTTTTTTTATTGGAAAGGTGGATATACCAGAGAGGAGGAGAGACAGAGAGGAAGATCTTCTGTCCGATGGTTCACTCCCCAAGTAAGGCAACGGCTAGAGCTGAGCCAATCCGAAGTCAGGAGCTCTTCCAGGTCTCCCACACTGGAGCAGAGTCCCAAGGCTTTGGGCCGTCCTCAACTGCTGTCCCAGGCCACAAGCAGGGAGCTGGATGGGAAGCGGGGCTGCCGGGATTAGAACTGGTGCCCATATGGGATCCTCGTGCGTGCAAGGCCAGGACTTTAACCACTATGCTATCGCTGGGCCCCTCTCCATTACATTTTAATTATTTTTCAAGACAAAGAAGTCTCAAGAGAAAAAATAGAAAATCTGCACTGACTTGTACATGTCCACCATATTACAGAAAAAAAAAAAAACCATGGATAGAAAAGTAGTCACTTACATTCAATAACACAATGCTTTTAGAATAATTTTTAAAACTACAATACCTTGCTACTAGTTCTGGAAATTCCTTTGTAATCTGCTTTATTAAATAAACAATAAACCATTCATCCTCAATGTTATCCCCAAACTTTGTCACACCAAACATATGAGCAGGAACATTTCCTAAAAACAAAAAAGAAGTAATCACCATGTAATTATATAAATTCATCTCTGCAAATAAAAACATTTGATTATGCAACTGAAAAAAAAGACTCACTCACTGACTGTGCCCCAAGTACTATCCTGGGAGCTGGGGTTGCAATCCTGAACAAGATATAAGATGCTGACCCTTGCGGAGTTAAGGTCTAAAACAGACAACGAAACCATCTTAAAACAAGGCTGGAAAATCTAGAACAAAGAAAGCATAACGGGCTACAGGAGCATAAAGGAGGTGACATCTGAGCCACGTGCTCTTGAAGCAATGACAGAGCTAAGTTTCCAGGAAAGCCACTGCGCTGAGGCACACAGGTACAATAGACGATCAGATGTCCCGGGAACACTGGAAGCCTCAGTTAAACAGGACACAGTTTTCAAACAAGCGTACCATCCACAAATACACATACATCAACCAACACAATTTAAACAAGTGAGTCCAAAAAGAAATCACAAAACCAAGAAGAAAATACTTTGAGAAAAACGAAAATGAAAGCCCAAAATTTCAAAACTCAAGAAATCCAACTGAGGCCATACGAAGATACAAGTACATAGCTGCAAAAGCTCTCATATTAACAACTTAATTTTGCACCTTAAGGAATTGGAAAAAAAACAAACAAAATGCAAAATTATCAGATGAATGAAATAATAAAGATTATAGAAGACAAATGAAACAGAAAATAAAAATCATAGCAACAAAGCTGAGAGTTTTTATTTAGAAGATCAACGAAAATAGACAAACTGTTAATTAGATTAATTAAAAACAACAAAGACTCAACTAAAACAAGAAGCGAAAGACGGGACACTACAACCTATGCCACAGAAATAAAAACAATTATAAAAAATTATGATCAAATATGCTGACAAATTGGATAAGTGTTCTAAAAACACACAAGCAATCAAATCTGGATCACGAAGAAACAAAACTCTAAACAGAACTGTAACTAGGAGGAGATAAATTGAAAAACTTATAACAAAGAAAAGCCACAGACCAAATGGCTCCCCTGGAAAATTCTACTAAAGAACTGGGGGGAGCCCAGCGTGGTAGCCTAGCAGCTAAAGCCCTTGCCTTGCATGTGTCCGAATCCCATATGGGTGCTGATTCTAATCCTTGCCACCCCACTTTCCATGCAGCTCCCTGCTTGTGGCTTCGAAAAGCAATCAAGGACGGCCCAAAGACTTGGGACCCTGTACCCACATGGGAGATTCAGAAGAGGCTCTGGGCTGCTGGTTTCAGATCAGCGCAGTTCCAGCTGCTGCAGTCACTGGGGGAGTAAATCAATAGATAGAAGGTCTTCCTCTCTGTCTCTCTTCTTCTCTGTGTATCTGACTTTCCAAAAAAACCAAATCTTAAAAAAAAAAAAAACTAAAAAAAATTTAAAGATTTATTTTTCATTGGAGAGTCAGATTTACAGAAAGAGAAACGATACTTTTGACACTAGGCTACCATGCCAGATCCAATAGTTAAAGAATATATCATCAGGGCCCGGCGTGGTGGCGCAAGTGGTTAAGTCCTCGCCTTGCACGCCCGGGATCCCATATGGGCGCCGGTTCTAATCCCGGCAGCCCTGCTTCCCATCCAGCTCCCTGCCTGTGGCCTGGGAAGGCAGTTGAGGACGGCCCAAAGCTTTGGGACCCTGCACCCGCGTGGGAGACCCGGAAGAGGCTCCTGGCTTCGGATCGGCATAGTATCGACCCGTTGCGGCTCACTTGGGGAGTGAATCATCGGATGGAAGATCTTCCTCTCTGTATCTCCTCTCTGTATATCCGCCTTTCCAATGAAAAAATAATAAAAAAAAAAAAAAAAAAAAAAAGAATATATCATCAATCTTCTTCAGTCTTCCAGAAAAATGAAGGGGAGGGAACATTTTAAGCTGTTTCTATGAAGCTAGTCCTACCCTAATACTGAAATCAAAAGCACTACAAGGAAACTGCAGAGCACATCCTTGACGGATATCCATGCAAAAACACTTGACAGAACCATGAAAGAGAATTCAATAGCACATTGAAAGTACTGCACACCGGATAACAGGGAAACCACTACTAATATGCAAACACAGGTCAACATGTGAAAATCAACCAATACAATAAACCACCTTAAAAGAATAAAGGTCTATCAAATGTGTTGCCAAGTATCTGAAAGCTGCCTTGGCGAAAAGCAGATGAAAAAATACCTCTTCCCCCTACTCAGAAATCCCAATTCTCCTCAATTGGAAAAGCTTCCATTAAAACCTCCATCATGATCACGTTAAAATTCAAATTCATTTTGAAATAATGGAGATTTGTTCAAGGATGGCACGATCTTATGTGTGTCACACATAGCTAAGTGGCAACAGTGGAGAGAGTGTAACCAGAGAAGTAGGTTGGGCATCTACTAGGAACTAAACTGCAGCCAGAGACACAGAGAGGTCAGATTTTAGAAATCATTGCACTGACAATTACTGCTAGAATGAATATAGGTTTGGCTTTTTTAAAAATTTATTTATTTTTATTGGAAAGGCAGATACACAGAAAGGAGGAGGAAGATCTTCCGTTCGATAATTCGCTCCCCAAGTGGCTACAACAGTTGGAGTTGAGCCAATTTAAAGCCAGGAGCTTCTTTTGGGTCTCCTACGCGGGTGCAGGGTCCCAAGGCTTTGGGCTATCCTTGACTGCTTTCCCAAGCCACAGGCAGGGAACTGGATGGGAAGCAGAACCACCGGGATTAGAACCAGTGCCCATATGGGATCCTGGTGCATTCAAGGTGAGGACTTCAGCACTACATTATCACGCCGAGCCCTGTATTTTTTGTTGTTGCTGTTTTTGTTTTTAAGATGTATTTCATCTTTTGAAAGGCAGAGCTAGAAAGAGACAGAAGGAAAGACAGAGAGAGGTCTTCCATTTGCTGGTTAACCCCCTAGATGGCTGTAACTGCTATGGCTGGGCCAGGCTAAAGACAGGAGTCTCTTCTAGGTCTCCCCATGTGCAGGGTCCCAGGCATGTGGATCATCCCCTGCTGCTTTCACAGCTACATCAGCAGGGATCTGGATTAGAACGGGAGCAGCCAGGACTTGAAGAGGTGTCCTTTTGGGATGCTGGCATTGTAGGTGGCTGCTTAACTTGCAATGCCACAGCTCAGTGCTTGAACATAGTGAAGTGAGAAGGTGAATATGATTCTAAATTATTAAAGAGGTTGGATAAGGAAACTGATGGCAATGCTATTCCTGGTTTTCTAGAGGAGATACAAGGGGTTGGCTTTGACGTGCTGCACTAATGTGACAGTGTAAAATGCCAACAGAGTAACCCATGTGTTTCAACGAGGAGTTGTTTGATGAAAATTAACATGCGAGGGCTGATGCTGCTCAGCAGCTGTGCCAGCCGTGCCTTGTGATGTGTGCACCCAACATCGGAATGCCAGCTTGAGTTTTAGCTGGTGCACTTTCTGCTAATACACCTGAGATGGCAATGGAAGATGGCCCAAAGAACTAGATCAAACACTGGGCTCCAGACATCAGCCTGCCACAGAACTGGCTCTTAGAGCCACTTGGGGGCCCAGCGTGGTGGCCTAGTGACTAAAGTCCTAGGCTTGAATGCGCCAGGATCCCATATGGACACTGGTTCTAATCCCAGTGGCTCAACTTTCCATCCAGCTCCTGCTTATGCCCTGGGAAAGCATGTGAGGACGGCCCAAAGCCTTGGGACCCTGCACCCGCGTAGGAGACCTGAGAGAAGTTCCTGGCTCCTGGCTTTGGATCAGCTCAGCACCGGCTGTTGCAGTCACTTGGGGAGTGAATCATCAGATGGAAGATCTTCCTCTCTGTCTTTCCTCCTCTCTATATATCTGACTTTCCAATAAAAATAAATAAATCTTTTTAAAAAAAAGCCACTTGGGGAGAGAACCCGTGAATGGCAGATGATGCCTCTCCATCTTTCCCTGACACTCTGCCTTTCAAATCCATAATCTTAAAAAACAAGACAAAACAAGAGGAAACTGTCCCTCAAATAAAGAAAAGTAATAACATTTAGGAAAAAAGGAATCGTGTGGAAGACACCTAGCAACATCTAGCTGGAAGATAACAGATCTGCATCAAAATCAGAGGCCAACTGTGGGTCTCACAAGACCCCAGGTTCCTGATCCCAAAGCAGATCCCATATGGCCCAATGTGAGTCCAGCCCTGGCCCCTAAGACTATTTACTCTCTCACAAAGCTGCAAGAAGGAAGGGGACAGTCCTATGTTTCGTGACACACTGGATCTTAGACACCAACTACTAAGGGAGCAGAAAAGGAAACTCAGCACACTCCCCCATGAAGAGGGGGCTCCAAAGGCACACCTGCTGCCCACTGTAAGGCAGGGAGAGCTGCTTGGACCCTCACCAAAGCCAGCACATGAACAAGGTGGCCTTGTCAGTGCTTTGTCATGCTATGGGGCACTCAGGACCACCAGGAGCCCCGAGGAAGCCCAATGTCTGAGCCCGATTCATTTGAGTCTTTAAGATATGAATGAAATTAAGGCATAAGGACAGGATTTTCAAAACAGCAGCAACGACGTAATGCTCAGCACACATTAACTCCTAAGGTAATAACTATTTGAAAGTTTCCATCAAAATGATTCAAACAACAAAATGTCTAAGCTTAAAGGCTTAACATGCATAAACAAGTGTCATTAATCTACAACATTAAGGATATAAGTATCTTCTTGCTAACACTGAATGAAGCATATATTTTTTTCCTTACCTTTCCCAGGTTTATATCTGAGATTAAAAGGCTGATTCTGCCAGATGTAGGTGACAAGCATAGGTGCAAACCGGGTCATAATTCTTTCGATGTACTTCTGAAGAATCTCTCTGTGTTTTTCTGGATCCCTTGGTTCATCTGGTATCAGGAATAGGCAGTACTCCACAGTGTCTTCCACAGTAGCAAATTTCATATTTTCCTCCATTTTTTGAAAACTATGTATAAAGTTTCAGTAATGTAAATCACAAAGAACGATGTAGAAAAAACGCCCCATCACTGAAACATGCGACTCACCATTCCTGTTACCCCCCCAGCCCCATCACTGTAGCTCTGGCCTAACCATGCACCACCTCTTGTACCACTCGTGGAGTGCCATGTCAGTGATGTTTTACATTTAAAACTATGTTCTTCACACGTAAGTGGATGTTGAAATGAAAATGTTCTACAATCCAGTGGGCAGAACCACAGGGTCATCATATTCCCCAATCGACAGTGTGTGGCAACACTGAGAACTGCCAGTGTTCCCATTACAGCCCAGAGTCCTAACCCTGTCCCTGAGCAGTTGCATGACAGGGGGCTTCAATTTCTTTCCTGGATGTGTGTGTTGGGGGGGGGGGGGGGGAGGGGAGCTTTGACTTGCGGATGAACATGTGGATCTAGCATCTCTAAACCTCGTTCTCACCTTAAAACTCACACCTCTCCCCAGCAGCAATATTGTGTGGCACAGGGAAAATCGGAGCTACACAAACATCCCTGTAGCATGATGCTTCATTCTACACCGTCCATCCTACGCCCTTTTCAAGTCCAGAGGGTAAAGCCTGGGGCAGGTGCCAGGTTATTAATTTGCTCACAAACCAGAAGCCACACACTGGAGGCAGCACGCTACCGCAGTGAGCGACTGTCACCCTCACTCGGCTTCCAGTCGGATGAAGAACCCAGACGCCTATCAGCGCAGCCAGTCCCGACAATCCCGCACACCCACTCGGGAACACCCAACATCCCCGTTACTCGGGACTCAGAGAGTCCGAACCAGAACAGACTTGGGGTCCCTGAGCCGACACCCCACTGTATAATAAACGAGAAAGCCGCGAGCCCGGGAAGAGAGGCGACCGGGCAGCGGCCGCCTGACCTACTGACCAGCACTCTTTCCTTCCACCTGACACAATGAACGCAATTCCGCTCACGGTTCTTCAGAGCCCCTTCGGTACCGTCTGTGCTGTGGGTCCCTTCCCTCGTCCGGCGTGAGCCGGCTCGGGTCGCTGCCCCTCGGGCGCTGCAAACTTGCCCTCGCTCGGCCTGGACTCCCAGACTCCAGGAAAACGATTTGAGAAAAAGTCGCGCCGGCTCACGCCCCGGAACCTGGGCCGGCCGTCGTCACCGGCGCGCGTCGTCGGGAGCCTTTGGCAGGTGTCACGTCACTTCCGCTCGCTCCCGGGGCTTCTGGGAGGTCCGCGGACTGAGGAGGAAGGGGATCCTGGAGGGGGAGGTGGCCGTCCGGAATCTAGGCGACGGGGCGAGACGGGGTCGGTAGGTGGCGGGAGGGGGCCGGGCCGGAGCCGGCGGGAGGGCCAGGCCCGGAGGCCCCCCCCCTGGCGTGCCCGCCCCGGCCGCGGCTGAGGAGGAGGATGTCCAGATACACTCGGAAGGCCGTGCCACAGAGCTTGGAGCTGTGAGTGGACTGCTCAGCCACCCCAGCCGGGGCCGGGGGAGGCTGAGGCGGACCGCGGGCGCTTCGGGGTCCCTTCCTGGCCAGGCCCGCGCTCCTTTCCTTCTCCGAGGCTTGTGGGAGAAAATTCTCTTTGGAATTCGCTTCTGCCTCCTTCTCCAGCCGGAGGGAGGGCTGGCCGCCTGCGCTTGGGCTCATGGACTGGAAAGCCGGGATGAGGGGAGTGAGTTTCCGAGGGTGGTAGATAGTCTCCGCGGTGCTTTAGGCTCCTCGGTCAGTGACCCAGGGCAGCTCAGAAGTCATTATTGATAGCTGAGTGCTACAATAAAGTTGAATGCATTTGGTGCCAGGCACCCTGCAGAAGCTGTCTGCGTGCGTTAGTTCACTCAGTCCTGCCCACGAAGATGCTAGCTGGGGGTGCTGTTGGGGTGCACATTCTTCAAAGAAAGATCCCAGAGGTGCAAGGTCGCAGCCTGCCAGGGACGACACCTGCTGGAGCCCGGGGCCGGAACCGGGACGTGTGCACCCCACCGTTGCAGCCAGGAGCACCGTTCAGCTTGCCAGACTTGAGGAAGCCAGTGTGTGTGGCCTGCAGACCCAGGCCTCCCACTAGCGAACGGTAGCAAGTAATCAGTGTCTTAGATCCATTCATGCTTTCCCTTTGAAAAAGGAGAACCGCTTTTTGATCCATATAATGTTGGGGTGAAATAGGCAATGGTTATATTCTGCTTTTCAGGAGATAGTATATCAGAAAAGCTATACACACTGTAATATATATATAAAATCCAATAGTTTAGATTTTTTAAACCCCAGATCCCATTTTCCCCTTTTACTGAGCTATATAGTTATGTTTCTTTAAAAAAAAAAAAGATTTATTTCTATTGAAAAGGCAGATTTACAGAGAAGGAAAGATCTTCCGTCCACTGGTTCATTCAACAAGCAGCCACAATGGCCAGAACTGAGCCAATCTGAAGCCAGGAGCCAGGAGTTTCTTCCAGGTCTCCCATGTGGGTGCAGGGTCCCAAGGTCCTGGGCCATCCTCTACTGCTTTCCTAATCCACAGGCAGGGAGCTGGATGGGAAGTGCAGCAGCTGGGATACGAACCAGCACCATATGGGATCCTGGTGCATACAAGGTGAGGATTTTAGACACTAGGCCACCGCGCTGGACCCTGAGCTATTTGTTACCCACCATACTTTATTTTTATTTTTTTTAAGAATTTGTTTGAAAGGCAGAATGTTAGAGATTTACCCACTGGTTCACAACCCAAATGCCCTCAGTGCCAGGGCTGGACCAAGCAGCCGCCAGGAGCCAGGGCTTCATTGGCAGTCCACGGTGGGCCATCCTCTGCGGCTTCCTGGCTACGTTAATGGGAAGCTAGATGGGAAGGAAGGGTGGGACTTCATCCTGGACGCCGTGGAGTGGGATGTGGCCATCCAGGGCAGCAGGATGGCACGGCCTCCTTACATTTCTCACAGTTACAGGATGGGGTTGTCATGAGCAAGGCGCTGCACTTCTGGCTGGGCTCTTTTAACCGGCTGCTTCCAGGCACAGTCCTTAAAGCTGAGCCTTCATTTCTGCCCTGTGAGAGCAGGATCCTACTTGACACCTGGTGGGCTGCAGGAAATGGGGATTTTATTTCCTTGCCCCTTCCCACCTTTACTTGGAACAGTAGATGTGTAACAGATGAATAAAGAAAACAAGCATGAAGTCTCCTTGCCTTTCAGAAGCCTGTTGTCAAGGAATACAATTTCTATGCCATATGAACGCAGGGGAAAAAAACTCCTTTTATATTTAGTTTCCACCAAAATCAAGAATGGAAACAAAACAATAAGTCAGAATTGTTGACCCAATCAAGTTCCACAGTCTTGAGCACTGATTGATACTCGATAGATAACAGTCCCGAAAGGATTCTCGAGCTGGAGTCACGATGAAGTAAACAGTGATAAAATGTACATAAATGGAGTAAACTGGGGCCGCATGTGGTATAGTTGATTGAGTCTCTGCCTGCAGTACTGGCCTCCTGGGCAACTGGTTTGAATCTAACCTTCTCCACTTCTTACCCAACTCTGTACAAGTGAGGCTGGGAAAGCAGCAGATGCTCCAAGTGTTTGGGCCCTTGCACCCATGTGGGAGACACAGAAGAAGCTCCTGGCTTTAGCCTGGCCCAACCTTGGCCATTGTGGCCATTTGGGGAGTGAACCAGCAGATGGACCATCAATGTCTCTGTAACTCTGCCGTTCAAATAAGTACAAAATAAGTCTTTTCAAAAAATAAAGTGAATTAGAAGCAGTTTTTATTTTAGCTATTATGATGATCTATTTTGAAACATTGACTTTAGTTTTCTCACATAAACATTTAGAGATTTTCAACTGCTTAACATTTTTAATAAAGTTTCAAACATGAATAGAGAATAATGTTATTCATCACTCCCCCACATAAAGGTTATCGATGTTTTAATACATTTGATTCATCTGTCTTTACCCTTTTTATGGAAGCCTCTGTGAAGTAAGGAAAATAAAATCTTAAAGACTTCATTTTATGCCTATATATATCAGCATGCCTATCCAAAAATTGATATTTTCTTATGTAATCACAATGCTATCATCAAATAGTATCTCTCATATTATTATCTCATTGTGACTTCATATGTAACTGTCACTTCAGTATCTAATTGTCATTTCATGTTAGATTTCGTAGCTGAAATCCAGATTTTGATCCCTGTATTTTCTTGGAGACAACATGTTGGTTGTAGGAACAATGAATGAGATGGCTCCCCACCAATCTGTTTCTGCCTTGAGAAAAATCATCATAGCTCTACCACCTGTGCCTTTAGCATTATTTACAGAAATGACACCAATTTTCACTAGTCATTTCCTCTGAGAAGCCCGGAAGCCAGACTACTTGCATTCAAATCTGATTCCATCATTTCTTTTAAGGATTTATTTTCATTGGAAAGTCAGATAAACAGAAGGAGAGACAAAGAAGAAGATCTTCTGTCCAGTGATTCACTCCACAAGCAGCTGCAACAGCCAGAGTTGCACCAATCTGAAGCCAGGAGCCTGGATCCTCTTCTGGGTCTCCCACGCAGGTGTAGGGTCCCAAGGCTTTGGGCCGTCCTCAACTGCTTTCCCAGGCCACAGGCAGGGAGCTGGATGGGAAGCAGGGCAGTCAGGATTAGATCCGGCACCCATATGAAATCTTGGTGCATGCAAATTGAGGACTTTAGCCACTAAGCCACTGTATGGGGCCCTGATTCTATCACTTATTAACCATAGACCCATAAGCAGGATACTTAATCTCTGTACTTCAGTGTTCTTTCCTGTTAGACAAGAATAGTAAGAGATTTATAATTCGTACTTGCCATATTAAAGACCCCAGGGATGGGTCAGTGCAATGGCACAGCAATCTGATCCTCCACCTGTGGTGCCAGCATCCCATATCAATGCTGGTTTTAGTCTCGGCAGTTCCACTTCCAATCCAGCTCCCTGCTTATGGTCTGGAAAAGCAGCAGCAAATGGTTCTAGTCCTTGGGTCTCTTCACCGGCATGGGAGCCTGAAAAGAAACTCCTACCTTACTGTTTTGCACCAGCCCCAAACTGGCCGTTGCAGTCATTTGGGGAGTGAAGGAACAGATGGAAGATCTTTCTGTCTCTCCTTTTTCTGTACTCTGCCTCTCAGACAAATAAATACATCATTTAAAATGAGACACCAGAGAAATCTTTTGTAAAGAAATTTTTATAACTTTGTTTACTAATCATGTTGCCTACATTTGAGTACACAAATCTGTGAGGAAGAAAAATCTAATTGATTATGACCAGAAAATATAATAACTGATCCCCTAGGTTTATTTCAGTATACATGTTGAACTTTTTAATTATCTATTTACTTGAAAGTCATACGGAGCTCTTCCATCTGCTAGCTGTGTCCCCAGATACCCACGCAGACGGGGTGGGCCAGGTCTGAGGCGGTAGGCAGGAACTGTCCCTGTCTCCCTCCTGCGTGACAAGGACCATGCTGCTTGAGATAGCCCAGGATGCATAGTAACAGAAAGTTGGATTGGAAACAGAATTGGTTCTCTGACCTGGGCCACAGGCTTCCTAACTGGTGTGCCAGAGGCCTGCCTCTCCTGAAGTCTTTACAACAGCCATTGGACAACAGGAATGTTATGTAAGCCACAGAGAATTTAAAATTCAGGTGGTGTTGGGTCCGGTGGTGGGGCCTAGTGGCTAAAGTCCTCACCTTGAACGCCCCGGGATCCCATATGGGTGCGGTTCTAATCCCGGCAGCTCCACTTCCCATGCAGCTCCCTGCTAGTGGCCTGGGAAAGCAGTCCAGGACGGCCCAAAAACCTTGGGACCCTGCACCTGTGTGGGAGACCTGGAAGAGGTTCCTGGCTCCTGGCTTCGGATCAGCACAGCACTGGCCATTGGGCTCACTTGGGGAGTGAATCATCGGACGGAAGATCTTCCGCTCTCTCTTCCTCGCTGAATATCTGACCTTTTTTTAAAAAAATAAAATTCAGGTGGTGACATGAAAATAAAAACAGGTAAATAACAATTGCCTTTTTTGAAATAATTATAGAAACACAGGAAGTTGAAAAGATGTTATATAGAGGTCAATGAGCCTTTCTCCTGGCTTCCCCTCAGGATGACCTCTTAGGTAACCAGTGTGATTTCAAAGTCAAGAAGCTAACGTTGGTTCAGTAGTTACCTGAGCTGTAGACATTGTTCATCCGCTCCTGTATGTATGCATAGCTTCACAGTCCTGTGCAGTCTAGTCCCACTTACCAATGGCGGTTACCGCACTAGAATCCACATACAGCTGTTTTGATTGGCACAGAGGAACCTCCTCGAGTACTGTTTACGACCACGTTCACTCCTGTCTACCCTGGCAACCACTAATCTGTTCCCCTTATGTCATGTGTGGATAGTGTACAAATGGAATCATGTGAGGGTACTTCAAAAAGCTTCGTGGACACACGGATTTAAAAGAAACGGAGAGATGTATTGGGCCTAGCAGCCAAGATGCCAATTAAAGACTGTATACCATACTGGAGTGCCAGGATTGACACCTACCTCCAGCTCCTCGCCCACGCTGACCGTGGGAAACAGGTGTCTCTGTCACCCACATAGGAGACCTGGATTGTGTTTGGCTCTCAGCTCCAGGCTCCAGCTATCCCCTGCAGACGCAGGCATTCGGAGAGTTTAGTAGCAGGTAGAAGGTATCTCTGTCTTCTTTTCAAATGAATATTTTTTATGAAATTAAGTCATCTTGATGCAAACAAGATTTCTGAAATTCATGCATAATATATATTTTCTTTTTTTTAAGATTCATTTTATTTTCATTACAAAGTCAGATATACAGAGAGGAGCAGAGACAGAGAGGAAGATCTTCTGTCCGATGATTCACTCCCCAAGTGAGCACAACGGCTGAAACTATGCCGATCCGAAGCCAGGAGCCAGGAACTTCTTCTGGGTATCCCACATGGGTGCAGGGTCCCAAGGCCTTGGGCCGTCCTCAACTGCTTTCCCAGGCCACAAGCAGGGAGCTGGATGGGAAGTGGAGCTGCTGGGATTAGAACCGTGCCCATCTGGGATCCCAGCGCGTTCAAGGCAAGGACTTTAGCCACTAGGCCATGCCACCGGACCCCATAATATATATTTTCCATGAAGTTTTTGAAGACACTCCTCTCACCCCACACCCACACAGAGTATGTAACATTTTGCAACTGGTCTCACTTTTTATTAAGCAGAATGCCCTGGAGATCTTGCAGGTTACTTCAACTATGAGTAGTTAATTTCATTTTGCTGCTGAATAATATTCCATTATATGGCTATAAGAGAATTTGTTTTCATGTTATATTTTTTCCACTTGTTTCAGTTATAATAAAGTTGTAAACATTTGTATACAAATTTTTTGTTGAAAACTTAAGTGTTCATTCTCTGGGGCTCAAATGTCCAGGAGTGCAGTCGCTGCTGGGTATTTTGACAAATAAACATGTTTCAGTTTCTAAGGACTGTGAAACTGCTGTAGAGTGGCTGTACCATATTTTTACCAGCAACATGGAGACTTTTTTTTAATACATCCTCATCTGCATATGATGTTACCAATCTTTAATTTTAGCTGTTCTAATGGCCTGGGGGTAATAGCCTAATTGTTTCAATATTCAGTAAAATTAGTTTTTTTTTCTTTTAAGATTTATTGTATTTATTTGAAATGCAGAGAGACAGGGAGACATCTTCCATCTGCTGATTCACTCCCCTGAGGTCACAACAGCTGAGGCTGGGCCAGGCCAAAACCAGGGGCTTCTTTTAGGTCTCCCATGTGGATGCAAGGGGCCAAGGACCTGAGCTGTCCTCTCCCAGGCACAGGAGCAGGGAGCTGGATGAAAAGTGGAGTAACTGGGACAAATGGTGCTGCAGGTAACAGATTAACCTGTCATAGTACTGGCCCACAGTGAAATTAATTTTAACGATACATTTTATTTAACTCAGTAGGACCCAAGTTATTATCATTTTAATATGTAATCGATGATATAACAAGATCCTCCATACCTTTTCTTCTGTACTAACACTTCAGAAGCACAGCTGAGGGCCTGGAGTGGTGGCCTAGTGGCTAAAGTCCTCATCTTGAATGTGCCGGGATCCCATATGGGCGCTGGTTCTAATTCCAGCAGCTCACTTCCCATTCAGCTCCCTGCTTGTGGCCTGGGAAAGCCACAAGCTTTCGAGGACGGCCCAAAGCCTTGGGGCCCTGTGCCCACGTGGGAGACCTGGAGGAAGTTCCTGGCTCCTGAGTTCGGACTGGCGCAGCACCTGCCGTTGCAGTCACTTGGGGAGTAAATCATCAGATGGAAGATCTTCCTCTCTGTCTCTGCTCCTCTGTGTATATCTGACTTTATAATAAAAATAAAATAAATCTTAAAAAAAAGCAACACAGTTGATTCTAACGAGGCGCACTGTAACTCCTGGCGGCTACCACTCAGGACAGTGCAGTCACAGAGTAGCCGGAAGTAGGTGGCTCACCTGTACACCTCATTCCTGCACACTGTTTTTTTCCTTACAGGATATACCTTCTTTTTATCGTTTGCAGGAAAAGAATAACAAAACACGCTCTAAATCATCATCCCCTTCCAGAGCAGCTGGATGACATTTTCCCTACCAATGGCAGCCATGAGAAAGACACCAGTTCCCAAAGGTAATGATACAAAGTAGACTTCTGTTGGCTTATCCCGCTGGCTGATGGCAAAGGTTTCCTTTCTGTTATTGAACCTGGCTAATTAAACAGGCCAAGAACTCTTGCCATCTGTACTTGGTACCTTTGAGGTTTCATTCTGGAACAGGCTGTTGCTTAATGGCAATAGCTGACTATTGTACTAGCTTGAAGAAGTATTGTAATGAAGTTTTGTAAGCACGGGGACTGGGGAGGAGCCTACATTTGATTTTTAGTCCTCATCCTGATCCTTATTTAGCCAAGTATGATTGAGCAAGTGACTTATCTGTGTGAAGGTAAACAACATAAAATATGCAGAACTTGGCACACTGGTATAGTGAAAACACTGAATAAACATGAGACCATAACTTTAAAGAAGGTTCTGAGAGGCAATTTATTATTGCAAAAAAACCCCAAAAATTCAAAGTCATGAAGCCTAGTTGTAAAACCTAGAACTAGCTTCAGATTCTTTAGTTTTAAAAATAGGATTGAGTTCTATGGCACCAGGATAAAATGAAGTTATTATCTGTTTTTTCTTTAAAAAACAGATATTAAAGTGCACACAAGTGCAGATACTACCGTTAGCATTTCTGAAATGTCTTTCACAGTAAAGAGTAAAAGTGGAAATTAGAATAGTGTTGTAAAGTGTGACTAGAACTATTTGAAATGGCTGTCACCAATTCTACAGGAATTTAGGTAGGGCTTTTTAGTGATGTTTGCATTTCCAGCAATGCATTTATTTTGCCTCTGTGGCATGCCTGTTCCATGACAAGGTTCTGAGAAGTCATATATAAAATGGAGAAATATGAGAGTTTTTCTGTTTTCTCTCCTCACGAATTGTGCATGCAGTGAGTCTGACTCCACACAAGAATCACCTTGTGCATCATCTGACACTGGGAATTCCACGTCTGCCTTTCCAAGTTACACAGGCACAGGGATGTCAACCGAAGGCAGCTCGGACTTCTCCTGGGGATTTGGTGTGAGTTGGGTTATCCCTCTGATGGAGTATTTGGGAAACTTCTAGGAGTTAGTATTTGTTGGTAGATTTCATTCCTTCACTGTCCTGCATTATTTCTTTACATTGTAGTACTTAGGTTATCCACATTTTAAGTCCTAACAGTAAGAATATTTATTCAAAATGTTATTCATTTGTTATTAATCAAGTGATGAGATAATGAGTGATTTTTATTTATTTTTGGCTATCTCCCATTAAAAAATGTAATTTTAAAAAAGGCCAATAATCTTAAAATTCAAAAGATAGATTTTACATATAATTTTACCACCCTAATGTAATAGATATTTTTATTTCTATGTCTTCTTTCAATATATATTTAGCTTTGCCTAGTTATAATCATGGTATACCTAAATATTATACTCTTATTATTTTGTAAGCACGTTCCATGGTACGGAATTTATAAATATTATTATTAGCAGCTTGATTTCTTTACAAAAAGCCTGCTAATTATTAGACTATAATTATCATAAATTATTTCCCAGTCATTATATGTATATGGTTCCTTAAATGATTGTAGGATGTATGTGCATAATGTCTTGTGGCCTGTTTTTTCCATTTGCCATTATCTCATGTGGGCATTTTCTTTACTACCTTCATATCTGTCAGAATAGCCTTGTAGTTATACTGCTCAGTTATGGAACCCTCTAGTAAAATGTAGTTGCAGCTTTTGCTATATCTGATAACTGAGGTTTTAGTTTTTTTTTTCAATTCAATCAATGAATATTTACTGAACACATTTGTTGCTACTGTTCTTAGCCATGGGAGAGTGAAGTGAGATTTACATGATTCAGTAGACTAATGAGGGAAGTTGATAAATGCAAATAAACTGCAGAAAAAGATAAGGGCGATCACTGGGTCCTGTGCACTTAAAGGGGATTCACTTTAAATAGGGTTGTGCAGTAAGAGAGCTCTGAGACTTCAGAATTGGAGAGAGAACCATCTGAAGTGAAGAAAAGCTTTAAGTCAGGTAACCAGCAGCTTGTACAAAACAGCCATAGAGTAGAGCTTTGGATTCCCAAGGGAAATGTGTGGTGTGTGCTTGGAACTGCACAAAGTTCAGGGAGCTGGGGGCTGCTGAATCAGAAGAGGAAAGCAGAAATGAGCTCCAAGAGGTCAGGCAGCCCAGGAAAGAAGCTAAATAACGAGAACTAAGAGGCTGAGCAACCTGCAGGAAAGAATCTAAATCTGGGTCCTTTGGGTACTTATTGCATAACAGATATTTTGTACAAAAAAGTTTATTTATTTCAAAGACAGAGTTCCAGAGACACCTCCATCCTCTGGCTCTCTTCCTAAGTGGCCCCAGTGGTTTGGGCTGAGCTGGGCTGGGCCAGGAGCCAAGACCTTTACCTACAACTTCCAGGTGAGTGGCAGGGGCCCAAGCACCTGGTCCTTCCTCTGCTGCCTTTCTGGGTGCACCAGCAGGGAGCTTAACTGGAATAAGAACAATCAGGACTTCAGCCAGAACCCAAGTATAATTCTGGCATTGCAAATGACACTGACCTTCACGAAACAGATTTTTAAAAATACTCAAAATCATCTCACTTTTGAACTGACTTCTACACTACTCAAGATATTATTTTTAGAAAACTGGAATGTTGGGCCAGCATTGTGGTCTAATGGGATAAGCCACACCTGCAGTGGCAGTATCCTATACAGAACTGGTCCACATCTAATTCTGCTCACTGCTAACACACCCAGGAAAGCAGGGGAAGACAACTAGAGGCCTTGGGTCCCTGTACTTAAGTGAGAGGCCTAGAGGAAGCTCCTGGCTCCTGGTTTCATCCTGGCCCACACCTAGCCTTGTAGCCATTTTGGGGAGAAAACTAGCAGATAGAAGATATTTCTCCATCTGTATCTTTATAATTCTGCCTTTCAAATAAATAAATGAACTTTTTTGGAAAAACAAATGTTTTAATGCCCTTTTCATAACTTTTGAACAGAATTTTGTGTTTATCTTTTAACTTGGACTCTGTTTTCTAAGTTTTATGTATTTATTTATTTGAAATCAGATCTACAGAGAGAGAGAGACAGAGACACAGAGAGAAGCAGAAGTCTGTAGTATTATGATGGCAAATGCTCTTCTCCGAAAGTACCAAAACAAACAAACAAACAAAAAAGGATAAAATGGTCAAGAGCAGTGACCGAGGGCTCTGAAAACTGACCACAGGCATAACAGAGAACTTCAAAGAGTCTGTGGGGAAAAAGGAATTCATGCAAAAACCCACTCTGAAATCAATGCATTGTTTTTTCATAATACAGATTTTCCATAATTTTTGAAGACTCTTGTACAACAACAAAAGAAGTAATTGTTCATGAAAATCCATAGTACTCTGCATAAAGGACAGTGAGTCTGTTCTACGAAGGTATAAGCCGTGCTGCTGGAGAGGGCTCAGCAGATCGGGATGGATGTTGGACACTTTGCCCTAGCATGACAGTTACCGTAGCAAACCTGGTAGAAAAATAATGGCCCAGAGAGCCTCAAGTGTCAGGCCTGCCTCAGAGCAACAGGGGACTGGCAGCTTATCCAGAAATTTATAAGTGATCTAGGAGGTAAGATATTATGGAGACCTTGATAAGATCTCCAGAAAACATTGCTGGAAGGAGCCCAAGCTGTCTCCTCATGGCTACCCATGAGTCAGAATGCAAGTATGGAAGTTAAAAGGCAGGCAGAGATAAAAAGGACTCACTATGGAAAACAAAAAAGGCTCAGTTTAGATAACAACAATTATAAACGTCACACACCTAACTGAGCTGAAGCAAAGCTGATATGAAGCAAGCAACTGACAAAGCGGAAAGGACAAGCAGCATGGCAGTTATAGTTGGCCACTTCAGTATTGTCCTCTTGCGCATCAGTGAGAACACAGAACACTTGAACAACACCTTCAACTAACTTGACCTTATATTCCACCCAGTTAGAGCAGCGTGTGCTTCAATGACACCTGAAACAATTCGCATACAACTGAAAGGATTTAAATTATGCAAAGCATGTTCCCTGACCACACTGCAATTAAGTTAGAAATCAACAACAGAAATGTAAGATATCTTCAACTATTGGGTGGGCAACAACACTCTTGTAAATGACTGTGGCTAAGTGCCTGTGTCTCGTGGCCCAGTGGTGTGTTTCTTTCTGGGCTGGTGCTCCACCTCCTTGCTCATGTGGAACCTGGGAGACAGTGGTAATGGCCTTGGGCTGAGTGCCTGCATCCCTGCCACCTTCATCGAGGCCTGGACTGGACTCCCAGCTCCTGACTTCAGCCAGGCCCCGCCCTGGCCTTTGTATCCACTGGGAGAATGAACTGGCAGATGGGACCCGCTCTATTGATTCTCTGCCTCTCTGATAAATAAAAATAAATAACTGTAGCTTGAAAAGAAATTTACAAGGGAAATATAAAAATACTTTCAACTGAATTAAATAAAAACATTTATTAGAGCTGAATTAAAGGGAAAAGCAAAACTTCTCAGAGGCAGCTAAAATAGTAATTAGAAGGAAATTAATAGCTTCAAATGGGCACAGAAAAAGAGGGTCTCAAATAAATAGTATGTTTCCGTCTTAGGAAACTAAAAGAGAACAAACCAAATCCAAAGTAAAGAAAAGGAACAAATAATGTTAGAATGAGAATCAATGAAACAGAGTAACAGTAGAGAGCGTCCACTAAGTTAAAAAAATTGCTGTTTGGGCCAAACATGTTAGCCTAGTGGTTAAAGTCCTTGCCTTGAATGTACCAAGATTCCATATGGGTGCCGGTTCTAATCCTGCCGACCCCACTTCCCAATCCAGCTCCCTGCTTGTGTGCACCTGTGTGGGAGACCCAGAAGAAGCTTCTGGCCCCTGAGTTCGGATTAGCTCAGCTCCAGCCATTGTGGCCACTTGGGGAGTGAATCATCAGATGGAAGATCTTCCTCTCTGTTTCTCCTCCTCTCTATATTATCCGCCTTTCCAATTAAAAAAAAATAGTTGCTATTTAAAGTCAGTGAAAGTGACAAGTCTTTACGTGATTTGACAAAGAGTATAGATGACAACATGGGGAATCACAGAGGGTATATAACTGACCCTCTGGAGAACTAAGGAACAGTAAACAACTCTGTGCCAGAAAATTATGTCTTAGGTATAATAAATTAAAGCTACAGATTATAAAACTGACTCAACAAGCAATTAAAAACTCAAGCCAATCTATAATAAGAAATTCAGATGGTAATCAGAAATTTTCCCACAAGGGCAAACATGTGGTCTAGCACTTGAGAAGAGCTTGGGTCACCTGACTCCCCATTAGCAGCAGGTCAGGGGTTGAGGTCACAGCCGCCCTGGGGTGTACCAGGTGACAGCACCAGAGGTTGGTGGAGTTCCCGGTTCCTGACTACAGCCTGGCCCAGTCCTAGCTCTGGACTTTTGGGGAGTGAAGCACCAGATGGGAGATCTCTGTTTTCTCTGCCTTTCATATAAATTCATTTAAAAGTTATTTCCACACACCAAAAACAAAACAAAGAACAATAACAAAAAACACCACATAGGACAGATATGCTGGCAAATTCTATCCTATATATTGTAATAATTAAATCATTTTATTGACTGAAATATATCCTTGTGATTTTCCTGTTGAACAATAAAAGATAATTTTTAAAAGATTTATTTATTTTTATTGAAAAGTCAGATATACAGAAAGGAAGATCTTCCCTCCAATGACTCACTTCCCAAGCGGCCGCAACGGCTGGAGCTGATCTGAAGCCAGGAGCCAGGAGCTCCTCTGGGTCTCCCGTGCAGGTGCAGGGTCCCAAGGCTTTGGGCCATCCTCGACTGCTTTCCTGTTCCACAAGCATAGAGCTGGATAGGAAGTGGAGCTGCCAGGATTAGAACTGGTGCCCATATGGTATCTTGGCGTGTGCAAGGCGAGGATTTTAACTACTACACTATCGTGTCAGGCCCTAAAAGATAATTTCTTAAAATGTCCTTTCCTTTTTAAATGCACACATTCAGTGTGAGTGACTGTTTTCAGACATTAGGTGTTTTCTTACAGGAACTCGACCAAAATGCCACGGAAAAGGTCCAGGCGATGTTCACAGCCATTGACGAGCTCTTGTACGAGCAGAAGCTGAGCGTACATACCAGGAGTCTGCAGGAAGAGTGCCAACAGTGGGCAGCTAGCTTTCCTCACCTCAGGTACCGTAGCTGCAGCTGAGATGTTACAAGGGATCTTCAAAAAGCGCATACTCTGAAAATTATGCATGATTTCCAGCTTTTATGCACCAAATTGAACTTTTAATTCTATTTGCATGAGTTTTCAAAGTGCTTTCATAATCATGGCTGATTTTAAAGTTTAAAAAGTGGATTTTCAGACGCAACAGTTGGGTCTAATAATTGCTCAGACTTAGGTTGCGACACTTGCATCCCATATTGGAGGGTCTGAGTTTCAGTCCAAGCTCTGTTCTCAGATCCATACTCCTGTGTGCCCTCCAGGGCAGCGGGTGAGAGCTCAAGTAGCTGGGTCCCCCCAACCATGTGGGTCATCTGGACTAAGCCCCAGCCCCCGATGCAGCCTGGCCCTGCCCTCCACCCCAGCTACAGGGGACATTTGGCAAGTGAACCGGCAGATGAGAGCCCAGTCTTTCTCACTGTCTGTCAAATAAATTTTAAAAATTATAAAACGTGGATTTGAAAAAGTAAAAAAGCTGTATTCTGAGATATTTACCAGGTTAATTTCATGAGTGTATATAAGGCCATGTGGTATAAAACCTCAGCTGAGGGGTTCTTCAAGTTTTTCTCATTCCAACTTGTTATCCTAATCAAGTAACAGCTTGTGAGGCATAGAGGATGAGCATCGTGACTGAAGAATCCTTCTAAACAATGTTTGTTTCCACTGTTGTCATTAATTCAGTTCTTACAGACCTGGGCAGCTCAGAAGCTGCTTGGATATCATAAAGCTTGCTCTGCTTATGAACATGACTTACAACTTCCGCTAACGTGGCTGCACCTCTGTCCTGTTTTGGTTGACCTGATGTGGATTATTATAGAAGACGAAGGACAAATTCAAAGTATTGGCTGAGTTTCCTTTTTTAACTTCTAAATCATGACTTTTATCTTTGCCATCTTCATTCTAGAGAGAGAGCTTTACCTGTAGCAATGATGTTGATGCCCGTTTCCTCTCAAGACTCATTCTGAATCAGGATCAAACCAAGTGTGCTCTGCACTCCGTGCAGGGCCTTTATCTTTGCTCCCCAAGGACTCAGCTCAGAGGGTCTGACTGTATGTGTGTTTCTTTACCCTGAAGGATCCTAGGTAGGCAGATCATCACGCCAAGTGAAGAGTGCGGCTTGTACCCCAGATTCCCCTCCGTTACTTCAGCTTCACGCGAGGCATCCTTGCCTCAAGAAAGAGATTCGACTATGTAAGTGTTTTTCTGTACATTCTAATACACAAGTATGATATGCACCATGCATACGTTCAACAAGTATTATATGTCTTAATTGGTAATTAGTAAAACACAGCAAGTTCTGGAAGAACTTTATTTATTTAATATATTAAAGTTTAATTATGAGGGCCAGCGTTGTGCTGTAGTACATGAAGCTTCTGCCTGTGGTGCTGTCCTTTCATATGGGCACCAGTTCATGTCCCGGCTGCTCTACTTCCCATCCAGCTCCCTGCTTGTGGCCTGGTAAAGCAGTTGAGGACAGCCCAAAGCCTTGGGACCGTGAACCTGCATGGGAGACCCGGGGTAGGGTCTTGGCTCCTGGCTTCAGGTTGGCTCAGCACTGGCCGTTGTAGCTACATGGGGAGTAAACCAATGGATGGAAGATCTTTCACTCTGTCTCTCCTCTCTGGAAATCTGACTTTCTGATAAAAATAAATAAATCTAAAAAAAAAAAAAAAGTCAAGGAAGTCATTACTTAGAGGGTGAGGGCCGGGTGGTTTGGAGCCAGAAGTCATGGGACTGTGCTGCTATGAGAATTGTTTCTGTTACACATAATAAATAGCTGCTATTTTTTCTTCTCTTAGATTTGGCATAAGAGGAAAGAAGTTAAATTTTTCATCTTCTTGTGCTCCTAAAGCATCTTCCATTGCCAAATCTAGCATGCGTGCTCCAGAAAGAGAAGAGGAAGACTGTATAATCTCGGAGGGAATCATTGAAGAATACCTCGCATTTGACCGCACGGATCTGTGAGTATTCCTTTTTTTTTTTTTAAGATTGGCTCATTTATTTGAAGTGCAGAATTACACAAAGTGGAAGAGACAGAGAGCACTCTTCCACTTGTTGGTTCACTCACCAAATGGCCACAATGCCCAGAGCTATGCCACAGCACCAGCCCCCATAAGTATAATTATTTTAAGTTTTACTTCCCTCATTTTTTTCTAAACCATGTTATCAAAATTACAAATAACTAAACCTGTGATAGTATGTGTTACTCAACAAGTGGCATAACAGGTTAGTCTTCCACCTGGAACCCAGGCATTGTGTATGGGTGCCAGTTCCAGTCTCAGCTGCTGCACTCTCGAGCCAACCTGTTAATGCACCTGGGAAAGCAGTGGAAGACTTGTGGTCATTTGGGAAGGGAACTAGAGGGTAGAAATTCTGTCTATCTCCTTCTAACTTTGCCTTTCAAAAAGGGGAAACAAGCTGCACTAGGTCAAAACCAGAGCCAGGAGCTTCATCCAGGTCTCCCATGTTGGTGGCAGGGGTCCCAACATTTGGGCCATCTATTGCTTTTCCAAGGCTCTTAGCAGGGAGATGGTTTGGAAGTGAAGCAGTAAGAATATGAACCCACATCCACAAGGGTTGTCAGTACTACAGGAAGTGGCTTTTTTACCACTACACCACAACACCAGCCCCTTTAATTCTGTTTTTTGTTTTGTTTTTCTTTTCAAATAATTATTTATTTTTATTGGAAAGTCAGATATACAGAGAGGAAGATCTTCCATATGCTGATTCACTCTCCAGGTGGCTGCAACAGCCTTGAGCTGAGCCAATCCAAAGCCAGGAGTTCTTTCAGGTCTCCTGCATGAGTGCAGGGTCCCAAGGCTTTGGGCTGTGCTCAACTGCTTCCCCAGGCCACAAGCAGAGAGCTGGATGGGAAGCGGGGTCAGCAGGATTAGAAGCGGCACATATATGGTATCCTGGCGCATGCAAGGCGAGGACTTTAGCCACTAGATTACAGCGCCAGGCCCTGTAGTTCTGTTTTAAGAAATGTAACAATATGTTTGATAGGGATTATGTGCCAAGTAAAATTATGAAGAGTTAAATTATATAATGCAATACAATAATAATGCAGCTCTTTCTCTGGAGCATTGTAAATGTATGCTATGTGCTTCTGGAGACAAGCTCTGGGGACAGAGATGTAGACAACTCCACATTCCACTGTATTTTTCTTTACAATTTGATTTTTTTCACCACATGAATGCGTCATCTCTTCAAAAAACAAGTATAAAGTTAAACATAAGTAAAGTTACTCTATGTCCTCCCCTCAATGCCAGCCAGCCCTTCTTGGGAAGCACAGGAGGCATCTGGAGCTATCTGGTGTAAGCTCTCTGCTTCTTTCTTTCCTGACCACAGTTTCCTATTTAATTCTCGAGGACCTCTGCCTTCCCCAGGAGTAACTTTCACTGAATAAGCCTAGAGATGTTCTCTCCCTGTCCCAAGCAATGGCAGAATTTGCTTTATCTTGATTTGTATTGGGTCTGTTGTGGGTTTGGTGACTTCCCGCTGGAGTCGCAGGGCTGGCAGTGTTTCCTGTTACACAAGCAGAGGCACCTGTGGCTACCTGGGAGTTTCTGGGCTATGGATACCAGGGAGTGCAGAAGAGCGAAGCACCAGGAATGTTTAGCCCCTTTCCTTTTGAACAGAGTACAGGGACTCAGTGGGAAATAAAAAAAAAAAATGGCGTCCACTCCTATTTAGAGCTCTCTCGATTCCTGAGGCAGCCTCATATGTGTGCTACCTATGCTGGGCAAGAAGGAAGGGCAGGGCCGATGGGTAGGCGTCAGTCAGGATGCCAAGGGGCACGGCGGGGAGGGGGGCCATGGTACCCACGAAGACTCCTCTGAAGCCTTTCCCTCTCGCTTCTGTTACAGGGAGGAGGGATGTGATGGAGCGAGCTCAGGAGGAGCTGCAGAGAAGCAGAGACTAGGGTACCCTCCCGTTGCCCCACTGCACTGCATGAGAGACGATGTGCTTGCTCACGTGTTTGACAGCGTGTGGAGCAAGGTTGTGGGCTGCGCGGAGCAGCTGACACGGACTCACTGGGAGGGCTTTGCTTCTGGTAAGGATCTTTGTGAAAACTACCCCAAAAATTGTCACTGATTTCCAAACCCTAAAGAGCAAACTGGATTATTTGTTTCATTAGTAAAAACCAAAGTGTGTTTTCCTACTCTCACACACCACGAGATTTCCCACCTAACAAGAATTCTGATACCAGATTTTCTCCAGCAAACTCACCGTGGGTATACTGTGGTTCAGTTCTACAAATCAAGGTTCCCATCACCGCCCCCTCCCACCCACCCATCCACCTTGGCTTCAGTTAGTTTGGTAAGACAGTTCGCAGCACCTTTTCTTTACCAGTTTATCATAAAGGATATTACAGAGGGTACAGAGGAAGAGATGCACACAGGAGGTGGGAGGGAAAGGAGTGTGAAGTGTCTGTGCCCACACGGGCACAGCACCCGCCAGGCAGCCCACACTGTGGTTGGCTATGTGGAAGCTTTCAGAACCCATTCCTTTTGGATTTTTAACACAGATATGATGGGTTATATCATTGCCCAATGGTGATGTCCTAACCCTTTAGTCCTCTTCTCTTTCTAGAGAAGTGAAATGGGGCCAAAATTTGTAAACTTTTAATAGCATAGTTGGTTCCCCTGGCAGTCAGCCCCTATCCTAAGACTGTTCAGCACCCAGCCACCTGTCATCTTATTACCATATAGAAGACTATTTTGGAAGTTCCAAGAGCTTTGGGAACAATGTGCCGAAAACCAGAGCAGAGACCAAATATGTATGTATTATTATATCACAGTGTATATTATGACATAATGTTTATATTTTCCACACAAACATAATTAATAAATATGCAAAAATGTATGGGTAAATAACCCTAGTCTGTGGTAACTGCACAGTTTGTACTTTCTCTTTGAATAGAATTTGTAAGAAAAACCCATGTGCAATTGGCATATACATTTTAAACTGTCTAATTAAAGACTATTAGAAGCTGTACAAATTTAAATTGAGTACTTTGATCACTTCTGATCTATCTATACTCCATGAAACCACCATCCCAGTCTGCTTAGTAACCATATCCATCACCCCCCAAAAATTCATGCCCTTTGTAACCCCTCCCTTCTGCCCTTCCCCAGCCCCTTATTCCCAAGTGATCATTACACTGAGTGAAGGAGGCCTGACAAGAAGAGTGGTCTGTCTCCTTGTCACCACAGGGCAGTTTGCCTTTCATAGGATGCAGTGGTCTGATATGTCATCTTTTGGACTCACTCCTTTCACTCAAGCATAGTGAGTTTATGCTTCTTTGTGTATTGATAATTTACTCCCTTTTTTGAGAACTAAATTTCATTACAGCAGAATTTATTTATCCATTTGTTTGTGGATGGACATCGGCTTTAGGCTATTACATGTAAAGTGCTTTGAGTATTAATGGATAAAAATTTGGAGCACATGTTTCTTTTTCTCTCAGGTAAAATGCTAGTCTCTATTTGGTTAGATGTATATAAAACTGATTTATAAGCTTGTCTATGCTACTCAACAAATTATCACAAACTTAGTGGCTTCAAATAAGCTAGATTTATTATCTCTCACATGTGTGAGTCAGATGTCCAAGAACAACTTAGCTAGTTTTTCTGCTTTCGGTGCTTTGGATTTTTTTTTAACAAAGCCGTGTGATGAAGGTGTTAGCTAAGGCTGGGTTCTTATACTGAAGCCCAGTGAACTAGCAAGACAGAAGCTTATCTATCATGATGTGATCAGAGAGATGGTATCCCACCACCTTTTCCATTATCTACTGGTCTGCAGCAAGTTCCAAGACCTGCCCACTCTCTAAGGGTAGAAGATTACAGCAAGATGTGAATTAGACTGGGGTTGGCCATAGCCCACATTTTGCCCCTTTTCTCACATGCAAATACATGTATGTCCCTCACAAGGCTTTCTAAGAGTCCAAGCCCACTAGAGGATCAGCTCAGAAGTCCACAGTTTTATCATCTACAATTGGTCCTGGAGTGGATGATGCTCCTGGAAATGACCAATTCAGTATGGTGTCTGAATTGAAACCCTACCTCTGTATACTTAATGAAACTAAAGAGAAGTTGCCTGACCCTAACACACCCAACATCCAGACGTGGGACAGCAAAGGATAGATTGTAAACACTGCAGGTCAAGGAGGAGGACCCATGGCACCTGTGAAGTCCAGCTGAGTCAATAGTGGGAGTTCCCTAACTAAATTCCAAGGCCTGGGAATCATCCTAAGCTGCTCTCTGCTCCATCGATACATGGTTGCAGCTAGGTAACTTGATCACACTGCTTCTTTGCAGTGGCATCCTGGGCCAACAGCTCTTTCACTTGGTCATCATGTTGCCCCTAGGTCCAAGCTGGTTGTGTTTCTGTTGAAATAACTTTCTCAGGAAGCTTGTGTTTTCCCATGGGTATCAGTGAGGTTCACATGCATTTTTACCAGCCACACTCATCCCTTCTCTACTGAGCAATTTGGCAAAGGGGACAATGGGACAGTCCTCCTCACCTTCTTACTGATTCTGTGTTCTCGTTAACATGGTCCACGAGCTGCACCCTTAATGATTTGAAAGAACCCTTGGTCTGAGTGAATACTTAGCCTTTTAATTACTCTGACATACTAGTAAGAGATTGTGTAGTCACATTCTATTGCTTTATATTACTCCATATAATATTAGCATCTTTTGCCCTTTAAAGGAACATAATTTTCAAAGTCATCAACCCCTAGTGTCTTTTCATCAGCCCTCCTCTTAATATATCTTTCTCATCATGCATATTGTTATAAGCACCACGAAAGAAAAGGATCAGGTCTCAAATTCCACATGTTGAAAGAGGATTCCTGGTACCAACACAATAACTCAACTGGCTAATCCTCCACCTTCAAGTGCCAGCATCCCATATGTGTGTTAGTTCCTATCCTGGCTGCTGCACTTCCCATCCAGCTCCCTGCTTGTGGCCTAGGAAAGCAGCAGAGGCTGGCTCAAGTCCTCGGGACCCTGACACCACGTGCGACACTCAGAAGAAGCTCCTGACTCCTGTCTTCGGATCAACTCAGTTCTGGCCATTGGCAGCCATTGGGGAGTGAGCCAGCAGTTGGAAGATCTCCCTCTCTGTCTTTTTCTCTCTGAATCTGCCTTTCCAATGAAAATAAATTAATTAAAAAAAAAAAAGAAGACCACCCCTTACATCATTTCACTAAGCTTTCTGCCATCAAAAACAAGCACCTTCCTTCCTGTAGTCTCCAGTAACATATTTCCCCCTTCCTTCTGAGCCTTCTCCTGCAGCATCCTCCACAGCCAGATTTTTGCTCTCACTTTGTCTTCTGTATGTCTCAAAAATTCTTCTACCTTTTACCAAACAAACAATTCAAATAATTAACAGTTAATTTACAACAGCAACAAGAATAAAATATGTAAAATAATTTTAATTATGAAAGTGCAACATGGTATTCTGAAAACAATAAAACAGAAAGAAACTAGACAAGACCTAAAGAAATGCAGAGACAGCCTGCATTCAAGGATTAAGTGACTTAGTATTGTTAGGATGGCGGTAGTCTCAGGTTCAGTGTGATACAACTGCCTTTATTACAGATTTCAACAGTTAATCCAACAATTCATATGGAAATGAAAGGACCCAGAAAAAGCAAAATAAAATTGAAAAAAGACAAACTTAGAGGGCTTCATACTTCCTAATTGAAAAACTTAACTACAGGGGCCAGCACCGTGGAGTAGTAGGCTGATCCTCTGCCTTCATAACCAACATCCCATATGGGTGTCAGTTTGAGTTCCAGTTGCTCCACTTCCTATCCACCTTTCTGCTGATGACCTGGGAAAGCAACAGAGGATGGCCTAAGTCTCTGGGCCCCTGTACCCACATGGGAGATCCACGAGAAGTTCCTGCTGCAGTTATTTGGGGAGTGAACCAGCTGATGGAAGATATCTCTCCATCTCTGCCTCTCCTTCTGTATTTGTAATTCTGCCTTTCAAAAAAAATGTAAAAACTTACCACAAAGCCACAATAATTAAAAACTGAAATTAACATGAGAACAGACAGTTCAGTGATATTAGAGCAAAAGTACAGAAGTAAATTCATATATCTGTAACCAAGTGATTTTCAACAAAGGTACAAAGATCCATTCTATGAGGAAAGAAATTACTGCAACTAATGGTGCTAGAACAACTAGATGTCCTCTTGGGAATGAATGAAGTTAGATTCTGACCTCATACCATCTACAAAAATCAACTCAAGGTGCAGTTTTTTTTTTTTTAAGGGAAAATAAGCAAGTATTGGTGAAAATGTGGAGAAATTAGGACCCTCAGGTTTTGCTGCTGGGAATGTAAGATGATGCAGCTGTTGAGAAAAGTTTGGCAACTTCTCAGAATGTCAACACAAAATTACTGTATGACACAGAATGTTCTACTTATGGGTATGTAACCAAAAGACAGGATAAAAGATATTCACCAACAAAATTGTATACAAATATTCATAGCAGCAGTATTTATAGTAGCTGAAAAGTACAACAACCTGTAGGTCTGCCGACTGACAAATGGATCAAGTTTAGTATATTCATGTTACAGACTCTTCCCCGATATTGATATGTTGAAGCCATATCTCCTGAGGCAACCATATTTGGAGACGGGGCCTTCAGGAGGCTATTACAGTGAGATCATGAGACAGGTGTCCTGTGCCAGTGAGGCTGCTGTCCTAAGAAGTCACCAGAGATCTCCCTTTGCCCTCTCACAGCTTGGGCGCGGAGAGGTGAGCACACAGGAAGAGACCTCACCAGGAACCAACCCTGACTTCCAGAACAACTCCAGATGGTGAGAAAGATCCATGTCCGCTGTGTCAGCCACTGAGTCTGTGGCATTTTGGTATGGAAGCTCCAGCAAACTGATATCCCATAAATCAGATATGACTCACCACATAATGGAGTCCGTGTTCAACATTCATCTGTTACTGCATGCATTCAACTTGGAAATGCTGCATTAAATGTAAGAAGCCAGACACAAGAGGCCACATATGGTTTGATTTCATTCATGTGGAATGTTCAGGGTAGGAAGAGACAGAAAGGAGTAGAGTGGCTATCAGGGGATTGAGGAAGTGGGGAACCTGGAGACAGTCTTTCCTTTTGGATAAAATTTTTTTTTAAATTACACGATGTTGATGATCACCAAACATTGTGATTATACTACAGAGCATGAAAATGTACATTATTTTAAAATGGAAAATTCTGTTACTAAATCATTCATTTAAAAAAGTTAATTTTTCAGTCTGAAGAATGTACTTTAACATTCCTTGTTTATGTTTCTGCTGGTTTTGTAGACATGAACATTCCTTTGTTTTGCTGTCGTTTACTGTAAGATAAATTCTGTATTGATGATTTATCTCCTAGTAATCCTCACTGTCTGCATGGGATCCTGGCACGTACAAGACACGGACTTTAGCCACTAAGTTACTGCAAAGGGCCCTTATCTGGGGTTTTGAGCAATATTTATCAGTATTTACTTGTCTATTTTTTAAAAAAAGTTGAAAACTAGAGAGAGAGAGAAAAAAAAAATTTCCATTGCCTGCTTTACTCACCAAAGGCCTGCAAGAGGCACGCGGATAAGGGATGCAAGCTCAGTGTGGTATCCGAAGCTCAGCGTGCAGCACTACAGTGCCTGTCACCTGAGCAATTTCTAAATTGCATCATCTATCTGAGAGGCAGGTACAGAGAGCTTCCATCTGCTGCCTCATTGCCCAGATTCCCACAAGAAGCGAGAACTTCTGCGTATCCCTCATGGGTGGCAGGGCCCTTGGACCAACAACAGGGATGCTGAATTCAAAGTGAAGCAGCCAGGACACAAACCAGCACCCATATGGGTTGCTGGCATCACAGGTGCCAGTTTTACCTACTATGCCATAACGGCCAGCCCTGACAGCTTGTCAGTTTTTTTTTTTTAGGTTTATCAACTACAACCCAAAAATGTATAAGACTTGATGAATAAAATCACTGGTTTATCTGCATAATAATTTACAATCATTTTATTTCAACTTTTAATCAAGATACCTTTAAATCTAAATTATAGGGGTTAGCATCATGACATAGTAGACTAAGATTCCACATATGACACTGGCATTCAGTATGGGCACCTGTTCATGTGCCAGCTGCTACACTTCCAATGCAGCTCCCTGCTTATGACCTGGAAAAGCAGCAGAGGATGGCCCAAAGCCTTGGGACCTGCACCCATGTGGGAGACCCAGAAGAAGTTCCTAGCACCTGGCTTCAGATCAGCTCAGCTCTAGCCATTGCAGCTATTTTGGGAGTCAACCAGCAAATGCAAGACCTCACTCTGTTTCTTCTCTCTGTACCTCCACCTTTCAAATAAAAATGAATCTTAAAGCCTTCTTTTTTTAAAAAAAAAATTATTTTTATTGCAAGGGTATTTATAGAGAGGAGAGACAGAAAGGAAGATCTTCCATCTGTTGATACATTCTGGCTGTTGAAGCCACTTGGGGATTGAACCAGTGTGTGAAAGATCTTTTTTCTGTTTCTCTCCTCCTGTCTGTAAACCTACCTTTCCATGATATGAACTGTTAACCTGCTGCCATGGTATGAACTGGCATCCATATGAGATCCTGGTGCATGCAAGGTAGACTTTAGCCACTAGCTATTATGCCAGGTCCTATTTTTACTTTTTAAAA